AGATTAGGCATGCATTATCAAGTTTTTACTTTCGTTTTTAACTGAATTCATGGAATTTAACCTATACTTCTGTTTCTTTACATTGTTGACATGTGCATGCTTGGCACAAATTTTCTGTCATGTCTTTACTGTGATTTTATTCTTTTCTCCCACTGATGGAACCGGTTGTCGGTTGTTCATAGGTTGTTTTTCTACAAACCGGGGTTTGTCCAGTGATTGAGACTAGCTCTTTCTAACAGACCCAACTGAGTAGGTTTATCTTTCCCTACCCACCTGAAAACGGAGACAGATCCAGTCTCCGAAACGTCGTGGTCATTTGTCTTTTACATACCAGACGATGGATGAAGTCCAAAATAAGCCAAAAGAAATACTGGTGGTGGACAGTTGTGAACATAGTAATGAACATTCAGGTTCCATAAAATTCAGGAAATGTCTTGAGTAGCTACGCAACTGTTAACTTCTGAAGAACTCTGGTCTGTTTAGTTAGCTATACTTAATCTCATAACTTCTTTACAATATGTGAAAATTGTAATGACACATCTAAGACTGTATTGCTGCAGTAGGGATGAAGGAATACTCAAACACATTGTATCCACCATGCATCAGTTTACTTCATTCACTCAGTACCTATGCAGTGTAGTTAAGGTTAGCAGTCTTGCTTTATATTTAGGATGTCCTCCTTCCAAGAGAATGTTGGGCTAGTACCTTGAGATAGGTCATGACTACTTACTTCCACATACTTTATAATTGTAATCTATGCATCTAAAAAGAGTCCTGTTAAATAACTTCAGAACTAATCAACTGACCAACCCACTGATTGGCTGACTGACTTACTGACCGACCAAACAAGTATGACATTTGCAAACTTAGGTTCTGTCCATAAAATCTTCATGTATTAGTCCAGATATTAAAATATGAATTGAAAGTTGCATAGGTTATTGACAGGAATGTTTTCGCCATATCACAGATTCTTTAATAGTGAGAGCAAAGCTAAGAGAGCTGAAATCTTTAGAGGCAAGTTGATGAATCATTATGTAATTGACCATTTGATTTGTTTCATTCTGGTCCATCACACTAACAATTACAAAGACAAAACAACTCTATCCAGTGTGACTAGTTAAGTTTTACTACTTGAAAACTTAGCACCCTTACATGTTTCGATCCTTACGGATCATCTTCAGAGGGAACATCAATACTTATTTGGAAACTACTATCACAATAGGTGTTCTGAGTGCTAAATTACATGCACACACAATGCCTGGAATACACAATATACACAAAATCCAATTTTTTCATAATCACAGCAGCTTTCCTGGTATTAAAGTTTTTAAAACTATGTTGTTTAAGTTAAAATTTATAAACCAAGTAGGTTCGTGTCACTTCTCCTATCGCCTTTCTTGAAGGGGGCCTGTCTATCTTGAGAAGGAGATTCTTAGTATCGTCCTGTAATTGTTCGTGGCTTGTTGTGTTGTTTTCACAGTGTCTCTGTAATTGACCATTAGTGATATCCATTCATTCCAAGTTTTCCAAGGAGTATATTCTGGGAACCATTGGTCTCTAAGATACTTCAGAGGGCAAGAATTAATATTTATATCTATGAATTAAATTGTGACATGAGGGCTAAAAGCCAGAATAATGGAGACAGAAGAGATGGCTATTGCTAGGGAATGGCTCGGTAAACACACTTCCGCGGCAACAGATATGAATGCAAAATAGAAGAACTGTTGGAGGTTGTGTTTTCTATGCGGTCCATGCAGAGGCTGCATAAGGAGAGCCAATTTGAGCTTTAATACAGACAAGTTGTGAGTTCAAAATGTGTGCTAGACTGCGACAGCAAGTGGTGGCCTGACACAGCAAGGAGGCAGTCAATGGTCAGGAATTGTGGCCATGAGGAGTTAGGAGATTCAGTAGCCATTACGGATGTGAACACAGAAGCTGAGAAATCTACATGGTTGGGAGCCATTACCAGGCAATGCCTAGTGAAACTACAAAACACTCAGTGTGTGCTGTAGCAAATTGTAAGTGTAAAAATTAGTGAAAAACCTATAATTACTTGTAGTTGAAAGATATAACAATCCAATAAATTCAATTAGCAATCCGAACTCTGTGTCTAGTCACTTAACATGTGACAAGGTGATAGAAAAAATGGTAAACATTTTGAGGGGGAGAGAGTAAAATCTCACATTTAGGTGTGAACACATTGTTAGTAAATCTGGAAAACTTAAACAAAATAAAAACTTCAGAAACTCAATGTAAAAATGATCTGTAATAATAAAATTGAATTTTTTGCATATAAGTATCACCTTACCTTGTCCTGGGACAAAAGCTGATCTCATGCTAATGGATATAGGAACTTCTGCTTTTGTTTCATCTATTACAATTTCAAAATCTCTTGGAATATTCTGGAGATTTGGCTCATGCATGGAGATGCGTCCAGTAGCCGTGTGAATTACTGAGCTGGTAAACATTCGCTCACTAGTCTGTCCAGGAGCCAGCAATGGGTATAATGTCTGTAATTGATGACCAGACTTCAACAAGTGTCTCATGAACTTGGATAATGAACATGAACAAACATCAGCCCAGAAACATGGCTTTTGCTGCCGCCAATATACACGTAGAATGTATTCTCGGTATAACAAGAATTATTTTAAAGTCTTTAAGATGTTCCTATGACTAAAATACATAATCTTTGTGCCCGTTTCCCAGTTTCTAAGTACATAATCAAAATACAGCACCGAGGTTTACAAAAAAATTTAAATAATCCTCCCCACAAAACCATCAAGTATGATGTTACCTTGGTAACTAGAGCATTCAACTTTCGCCATTGTAAGATAAGTCCTGATAATGGATGATCCTGTTTAATCTTCATTAGAGCCTCCTTACTGGTGCTAGGACATCGATGTTTTGAACTCAGTTTGCTTGTAGTCAGACCCAGCTCCCTATAAAGAACCTGCAAAAGATTAAGTATTGTAGCATGTAGACCCATTACTAGGTAGCAACCATGAAGGAAACAGATTTCTGTGGCAGTGAGCTAATGCACAACAACAAAGGAACTGCTGGAAACAGAGTTTTCTACGCGGTCAGTGCCAAGGCATTATATAACGAGGACACCAGCCGGGAAGTAGCCATTTGTAAGTCTGTGGAGGGAAGACTATGAGGTTGGTGTGAGATAGCCACCAGCCTGGGAGGTAGTCAGTTGGAGCAGGAATGGAGTTGTGGAATATTCACCGGACAGCAATGATGTGAGCACAGAAGCTGAAGAATCTCCATCGTTAAAATCTGTTACCAGTAAACAACTAGTGAAAGCAGATTGAGAAGGTTTAACGTGTGCTGTAGTGATTTGCAAGTGTGGAGATTGGTGGTAGTGTTATACTCATAGTACTTATTAATTGCAGGTTACAGATGTCCAGTAAATCTAATGTCCAATGAAAACTCCATCTATAGTCACTCTATGTCATGACAGTATACTATAGTTATGTGGAAGTCTTCATGATTTAAGGTTTGAGAACAGGATGATGAGGAGAGTACTGGACCTAAGAGGAAGGAAATAATAGGAGCAGGGAGAACTACATGATGAGGACCTTTGTTAACTTGTAATTTTCACAATAAAAGAGGATGAGGCAGTTGGTATATGTGGCATGCTTGGGAGGGAAGAGAAAAACATACAAATTTCAGGTAATAACGCCTGAGGTAAAGAGTCCATTTGAAAGACTTAAGATGGAGGACAATATTAAAATTCAGAGTAAAGAAAAAGGATTGGAGGGTGTGCACTAGATTCATCTGGCTTAGGCTCTTCTGAACATGGCAGTAAACTTTCAGGATTCATAAACTGCTTGTAATTTCTTGAGAAGCTGAGCAACTGTTAGGTTCTCAAGGACTCTGCTCCATTTAATTAGTTAGTTAGAAAGTTAGTGCTCTACAGGCTGGCGACCATTTACCTCCAGAAAGATTCTTGGTACTCATTTCTGTTAGAGGCTGAGTCAACCCCAGGGCCATAGTGCGGCTGGAAGAATTAGGTCAATTGAAAAATCCAGTGACCTCATCAGAAAACTGTCTAGTATACTGATAGGGTAAAGTTATCCCTGTGCTTAACTAATTAAGCACTATGCCATGAAGGCGTATGGGGGAGTGGCTGTATAGTTCCACATTTTTTTCCTTGGCATTAGCTGGAGGTGAGTGGTCAGCTACACGCCTCAGCCGCTTTAACCCCCCAGTAACCACTGAATAGGTAGGGCAAACCCCAGAGCCAGTCTGGACGACATAGAGAAGAGAAAATTCTTGACCCTACTGGGACTCGAACTCTGACCTCTTAGTCGTCCAGCCCATAGCCAGTAACTATAATGACTGAGCTATCCTGGCTTCCCTAGTATACTGATAACAATAGGAAATTCATTTTGCAATTTCACTGGGCTCCATGATTAGTATAATATTATGGCATGTCTGCTGAAAACCAGAATTTGGAAGCCACTTCTACAAATTTTAATGCCAAAAAAAAATTTATGCCTAAACAGTGTCACCTGTGTGCAGTTCATTAGCATTACATTAGTAAATCTAAGGTTTACATATTCATAAATGCACATTTGGAAAGTATATAGGCTACATTCTGCTCTTTATTGATGAAGACACTGATGTTCCTAAACAGTAATGTTAACTATCGGGATTCTAAAATTCATTTGAATAAGGAATATCAAGAGTAGAAGCATCTCAAAGTTCATCACATACAACTAAGTAATGTCATGGAATGATCCTTCTTCAGAAGCTAACAGTCACTCAGTTTGTCCAGAAATATTTTTCATAGAATGCATACCATTGGACATTATTCTGGTCTGAACAAAACCAGTCCACAACCCCAGACTGTATTTCTGTAACATCCATTTTCATATAATTTACTTATGCCTAGGCTTCCAAAAGAGTCACTTCCCTGCAGAACTTCAAGCTAAAATTTCATGTGCATTTGTCATCACTCTCATGGATGCTACATGTCCAACTGATCAATGACATACACATTGAAAATGATGATGAAATTCTCAACTTTTCCCTACACAAGACATTATTCTAGCATTCAGGTGGGGATAGTCGGGAAAACAAACTGTCACTGAATGAGACCTGTTATTATTTCTTTTTATAATTCAATAATACCATTTTATATAATAATCATCAACACCACTTCACGTAACATGATAAATAAACTAATATTACAGTCTTCCTGGATGTGATACTGTGTAGTTTTATAGATGGGAACATAATGCCTCCAGCTTAAGGGTAAAAGATACCTGGAAGTTAGAGGCTTTATGTTCCTACAAAACATTAGTTCCCAACCATCAAACTATATGGTGTCACGTCCCAGAGGACCATAATCTTAATAGTCACTGCTGTGAAAACCTCAAATCTCATATAAATTAACTGTCTTCTGTCATCCCTTCATTACTGAAGGTAACTGCTGCTGATACTGCCACCCTTTACTCAAGACTCAACACTGTCTTTACCTTGCGTACGTCGGCAGATGACGTGAAAGAGAAAGTATGTCCCACTAACTTATATGCATGTTGCTCCAATGCTTTTAACTGTTGCTTCAGTACGTCATGCAAGCGTTCAGCCTTGTCTCTACTGAATCCAATGCCATTTAGCTCCATTTGTGCTAGGCACAGCAATGCTGGCATTTCAGTTTCTACAAAAAAAAAAATTAGCAATTCAAGAATTACTCATACAAACATATATTGCTATAAACTGCAAATAAAAAGCAGTCAAAGTCTAAGAGAGCCTGGGTAGTTCTGCAACATGAAAACTTATTCCTGGTGGATAGTGCAACAGATTTGATCAACGCATTGCCAGGCAACAACTCTGTAAACACAGTCCAACACACAACAATAGAGGAGGCTGTGCTTTCTGTGTCTCCAGTAATGTAATGCAGTGGTGGATGGTGGTCACATGACATGTTTCCTGTGATGTGTGTCCATTCCTTGGCTATATAAGTGACAGAATTCATTCAGTTTAGGGACAAGTCAGTTCTCGGTAGGAGATAGCCATGGGAAGTTTGTATTTGAAGAAGAGTACAAGAACAGCCTAAGAAGATTTAACGTGTGATTTGATGACTTTATATGTGCTATAGCACAGTGATATTGAGTGTGTGTGATTTAGTGAGACTTTTATAGTTCCTGTGTTATAAATCCATGAGGACTAGTGCAGACAGACTGAGAAGATTAGTGTGGAGTGATTGCAAATTGTGTAAATCGGCAATAGTGTTATAATTATTTGTAGTTACGACCTGTAAGTATCCAATAAATCCAATTACCAATCCAAAGCCACATCTTAGTCTCTGTGACACATGACAATATGTTAAACTTACTTAAAGCATGTTATGTTATTTATAAAGATGTTATTGCTTCTAGGTCAATTATTCTTGATGCTACAGAACAGTTTGAGCCCTCCCTCTTCAGAATCAAAATGCTATTTTCCATGACAAAGCACAACCAGTATTAACTTTTTATTGATAACATGTACAAAACATGACTTGTCTAAAAAACTGGGACTGCTGATCATGAAAATAATAGTCAAGTTCTAACACACACATTTTTAGTTATCCTCTATTTTTTTGTATGTAAGACATGTGATTGTACATACCATTTATTATACAGTTTAAAATAATTATGTATTTAAAGGAGAATAAATTTTATTCACTAATGGAACATCATTTTCTCATAGTATAGTTGACAAAAATATAAGAACACTAAGAAAAAAATACGAAAGTGGAAAGAGGGATGTTGTTTTGGCACAAAATTCAGTAAACAAAAATGTGACATGTTGAAAACTTTTGTATTCAGATCTGGAATTAGCATATCAGAATTAATTTAATAAATTAGTTTTCATTTGCATTACCAAAACTTTGTTCATTAGATTAATCAATACTCTAGAGCCAGAATATGTAGAGATGCATATATACGAACTTGGAAACGTTTTCTGAATCAAATTGGAAAACAGTTCAATGAATATATCATTCCTGGTTTCAATTTAATAGCCCTGAAGAATATTCTTTTTAGAAAAGGAAACACATGAAAACAAGTTTTTTGAACACACCACTCCACTGACCCCCATCATGTTGCCAGTGCCCTACACAGCCAGAAAATCATCAAAATAAGCTAAGAAATATTATCTATTTAAGCTTTACATCATGAGTCCCACAGATTTAGGGAATGCAAAATTATTCACATGGTGGCCCACAAGCCAAACCAAGCCTGCCTTTGTGGACTTTGGAAATAAAAAGATATGATCCTTTATAAACTGAGGACATTCATTAATGTACACTCTACTTTGTTTCAGGGTTTCTTACCACAGATGTCTCACATAAAACTTCACTCTTTTTAACGTTGAAAACGTTATTATACAAGGGGGCAAATGGAATGAAACTGTTAGTAACAGAAAATATAGAAATTTTCCATAAGTAACATAATATGTAACAATTTGCAATTATTGATACCTTCGCTCCTAAGTAACTGAGGTTCTATTGTTGACCTCGTTAACATGGAAATGTGCACAGAGAAGCACGCAGAAGAATCTGGACATATTGCAAGTGAAGTACATTAATGGATGTGAGCTGTACAGCTAATTCAAATTCGCTGTTTAGTGGATGATGCAATATTATAGGTAAGCTGGCAGCGTACAACATCACACATTGATAAGATGTCTGCTGGAATTAAGCTATAGGTATCCTGATAATGCGGCAAGTAATGAACTGGTTCTCTGGATTGATGAAACACATAAAAACTTATCTGCTGATTTTTAACACTCTAAAGATTACTGTAACTATAACACACAAAATAATGTCTTCAATGTCTGCTTGCTAGTCATTGCCCAGTAACGAATCTTACCTTCTTAACACTTCACAGCTGAATATTAAATTATTGAGCTGCCTTGTGAGTTCTATTATGAATGAATGAATGAATTGAATTCATAAATGAATTCTCTTTTATTAGTTCAAGAGAACCTAATATAAGCCACCACACTGAACAATTCATCTATTGGTCTCCTGTATCCGTTGTAGCAGAAATGCCTGGTGATCCCAAGATTCCTTGCATCTACAAAAACCTTTGCTAAATCTTTATTGACATGAGAATCAGTTTTAGTGAGCCAATGCCTAGCAAACAGACTTCTGCTTGTTCATTGCTATTCCAGATTTCAGGTGGTGTTTACCGAAACGGTGCCTAGGAAACGATGGTGGGAGTATTTGATACACCCCCCCCCCCTACAAACGGTAGAACACTGAGAGAGCTCCAACATTTTTAAATGTGGATAACATACCCTAAGATACTTACAAATTAGATGAAATCAACCAATGTTTTCAACATTAATCCTGGGAACCAAAGTTCCCCAGTGATTTTTAGGTAGAACCAAACCCCCCAAAATAAAATAAATTTAACCCTTACTGCCTGCCACATGAGCTGAAGAACCTGCAGAATGATTTCAATGAAACACTGTAGGCTGGCTACTTTTGGTATTACAGAGAGATATTGCATAAAACATACTGTTGTGTAACCTGAGCCTTGGGAGGGAGCATATGTGTGTGCACTGCTCTTTCAGGATACTTCTAAACTTTGTCACGCCCCCTATTGGTTTTCAGACTATTCTCAAACTGCCCAGAATGACTTTGCCTGTGTATAAATGTTCTGGAATTCCTGAGAGGGCAGTTGGGTTTCACTGTAAGCCAGAAGCAGCACATGAAGGTTAAGTGTAGAAAAAAAGATGCATATGGTGAGACAATTTAATTCAGTGGCAGCAGCAACAAGATGTAAGAAGCGAACAGTGCAATGGTGTACAGTGAAACAGTGGTGGACCAGACAGGCTTATATCAAGACCTTAAGTGGCTACTGACAATTAGGCAATTAACTGTACCAAGCATGGTAAATGTTACAAGATTCTGCACAGCAACAGACTCTGAAAGTATAATGTTCAGAAGTCTGACAGTTAGAAAATGAGTACTAAGATATTATGGATTAAGAATGTTTCATTACCAGCAACTAGAATAAGAAGCAACTTTTGGATTTGTAAATAGTACCTGTATAGATCCTATTCAGTTTCTTCTCTTCCAGACTGACATGCTGAGCCTGAACAAGTTCCCATGTGAGAGCCGCTTCAACACAAGCTCTCAGCCTAGCTGATGTTGGGCTCCTCCAGTCTAAAGCAGCACTGCCAACACCCCAGTAACTTCCTAACAAATCTGCTACATTTCCAGCACTACTGCCACAGTATTTTAATACCTGAAAAGGAGAGCTTAATATCATACAATTTGAACAGCATGTCTGAATCTATTGTGAGGATCCTGGACTAAATTTCTCAGCTGGTTCGGTTTATAAAATGCTAATAATTTAGGTGAACTGAAACATGACAAAGCAGGATTTCAGTTATTTATTTAATAGAAACTGGCATACCCAACCTGAGGCTCAAATATGATACAGAAAACATGTAAAAAAAATGTCTTGGCTGGCAGTGCCATAAAAATAACAACTTCACTAATGTTACAGATTTCCAATTCATTTCTGTATACAGTTCTTTCTTACCAAAATTGTGCGTGCATTTACTTTCCCTCTGTATGTCTGCTACATGCCTATCATGCCTAAACTTCAATTAGAAAGTTCTGATTATGCTAAATTGTTCCTAGATAAGTAAGTAATTACACAGAGCAAAGCCCTTCTTGAGGTGCTAACAGCCACTCAGGTAGTCAAGAAATGATCTGCATTTTTGAAACCCAGAGGTTTATTATTGTATTCACAAGCATCTATCCTATCCTGAGCCATATGAATCCAATATGATCCATTTTAATAATATAATAACAATTCATGAATTAGAAGAGTATTTGGAAACATGTAGACTTAAGTGGTTTGACCAAGTGAAATAAGTAACGAAGTAAAGATAGTGTGGCATGTCTGCTGAAAGGTAGAATTGTGGATCCAGAGAAACAGCCATTGCTAGGGAACGAATCTGTAAAGACAAACGTTACTGTGCAGTGGCTCAGTAGCCGTCAGTTTAAGGCCACAACAGACACACACACAAGAGAGTAACCCTGGGAAGTGGTGTTTTCTATGTGGTCCATGCCAATAGCTGTCATTCAACAATAGAAGAACTGTTGGAAGAGGTGTTTTCTGTGGGGTTCATGCTAAGGATATATAACGAAGACCAGCTGCCATTAGCTGTGAGTCAGTCAGTCTCAAGTAGAGTCAAGAGTAGAACAGAGTCCTGAGATGGCAGTTAGAGCAGAAGGAGGTTGGTGTGAGATGGCCACAAGCCTGTGAGGGCATGAGCCTGGAGGCAAAGAAACTTCCACCACTGAATGCCGCTATCAAGCAGCACAGTGAAGACTGTGACTGAAAACAATGCTCTGTGTGTGATAGTGATTTGTAAAGTATAGTCATGAGTTGTGTGCTAAAGTGTCCAGTAAATCCAACTGCCAATCCAAAGTCTGTCTATAGTCACTCTATCATGTGACCAAAATAGCACTGGAATTGAAACCGAAGTGGGAGAAGACCTGGGAAGGATGAGAACATAGATCCAGTAAAGTTACATCTGGAATGGAGACAAAGGATATGAACAGAAGAAATGACCTCAGATAGAAGTGATCAGTGCAAACATGTGCAATCTTAAAACAGTTTTCAAGTCATATGAACTACTTTTATTCTTTTACAGTCATTCACAACTAAAATTATATTAGTTTCATATAATACTGGTTATGTGTGACTGGAAAACAATGAAAGTATATCAAACAATAATAAAACACACACGTTGTTGAAATATAATAGTCCAATTGGCAAATACTAAATAGGGATGCAAAATATATACACCATGTACAATATATGAGGGCTATTAGGAAAGTAATCTGTTTATTTTAGGCAACTAATGTAGGAGAGGAGGAGAGCTTGTGCATGGGAGGGAGCATCACATGACTTATTGCCTTGTAAACCATCACATGACCAGTCGCCTAGCACTTGTTCTTGTCTCTGCAGAATGAGTTATAATGTGTCTTGCAATTGCTAATCCTGCTAGCTGCGAAATTTGCTCTGTTATCCAATTTACCATGCTGAAAACACAAGTGCGGTGGAAATCCACCGTGAATTATGCACAGTTTGCGGCCAAAATATAATGAGTCATGGAACTGTAAGACCATGGTGTAGAATGTCCAAAGATGGGTGAGCAAAGTGGTCAGCCAGCCATCTGTAGTGAGTGATGATATTGTTCAAAGTGTTGACCAAAAAATTTTTGAAAGATAGCCCTTCACAATTTCAGAAATTTTGTGTGAACTTTCACAAATTTCACACACTGTTCGCTATGCGATTATCAGAGTGTGGTTAGGTTGTTACAAGTTTTGTGGAAGACTGCAAGATGTTCCAAAAATGCCCATGGGTGTGCACAAAATGCAGAGAATGGCTTCAGCTTTGACTTTTTAGAGTGATATCACAAAGATGGCAATGAATTTCCAGTCACACTGTACAAAAACCAAGTGATGAAACCTGGGTTTCATTTGTGAATGATGAAGCAAAGCAGCAGTCAAAGCAATGGATGCATACACATTCACCAAACAACCCTGAAAAGCTTAAATGAACGTTGTCTGCCTTCCAGAAAGCCGATGGCAACTGTTTTCTGGGAAAGGAAAGGAGTACTGATGGTGGAATTCATGCAACAAGGGACCACAGTAATGTCAGAAGTGTAATGCATGTGAAACTGTAAAAAACAGCATAAGGCCATTCATGACAAAAGGTGTGGAATGCTGACATACGGTGTAGTGGTCCTCCATGACAATGAGGGTCTGCATACAGCTGCTCATGCTCGAGCACTGCTGGAGCATTTCAACTGGGAGTTGTCTGACCACCCTCCTTACAGCTCTGGTCTTGCTCCAAGTGACTACCACCTGTTTACCTATCTGAAGAACTGGTTGTGATCACAGCACTTCAACAACAATGAAGAGTTGATGGAAGGTGTCAAAATTTGGCTTAGCTCACAGGCAGCAGACTTCTTTAACACAGGCATACTTATTCCCCAATAAGACAAGTGTCCCAGTTCCAGTGGTGACTATGTTGAGAAGTAGCTTAAGTATTTATGTATTTTTGTTTATAATAATTGTTTTTCTTATTGCTTGTTTTGTTAACGGCTCACCGGATATTACCTTCTGAATAACCCTCATATGAATGCTATGTAAATCCAGTTCTACAACACAGCATCAAAGCATGACAGCAATTCCATCAATACTGAATGAAATACAGTTAATATAGAATCAAGCAATGGGACAGATTAAAGGAAATTTAAAATCTACTTCTATAACTGAAATACAAATCATGATACATAATCCCCCTGTACAATAAGACACAGTGAAATGTGCCCAAATGCTATTAAAAATATTGAGGACATTACCAAGTGACAACTATTATCTTTAAAAATATATACGAGTAGTAAACAATAGCAGAAGAGTACTCCAAGACAAATAAATGAACTGAAGGTGGGGTGTATTGCCATGGCACAAGGTGAAAACTTAGTTTTAGCCATGGGCAGTACACAACAGTATAAATGTATGCCACTGAGGCATGCGCAGTTGAAAATCTAGATGGGAACTATAAAAATAGAAACATCTACATCCTATCAGTCAATCTGCAATTAAAGCACTTGGCAAATACAAGATCACCTCAAAACTGGTCTGGAACTGCCATCAATTTCTCATACAACTGGGCAAACATAACAGAGTTCAACTGACATGGGTGCCAGGTAATGAAATGGTAGATCAGCTGGCAAGAAAGGGAACTGAACATCTGTTCATAGGACCTGAACCAGCTTTTGCAGCATCTCAATTGGAGTTGTCAAAGAAGCGGTCAGGGACTGAATGAACACAAATCATAAAAACACTGGGAATCTGTAATTGGACTCAAACAGGTAAAGGGACTTACACTAGCGCCCTTTGCCAGAAGAACAAAGGATATGTTAAAATTGAGCAGAGGCCAACTAAGATGGGTGGTAGGATTATTTACACGACACTGTCACTTGAATGGACATGTTTTCAAACTGGTACTCACAGATCACCACACTTGTCCTAGAAAAAGATGAATCAGCTACACACATCCTATGTTATTATGAGACCATAGCTTATTTAAGGTTTTATCACCTTGGCAGATTTTTATGGAACCAAGTGACTACCATAAACAAAGTCCTACATTTAATTCGAAGTGTGGGATTGATAAAGGGTTAATCAAAAGGGGAAGCACAATAGATCATTGAAGGTCGCAGTGAAAGGACTGGATTATTGTGGCCCGCCCCTTATGCATTTATTCATTTATTCATTCATAGCAGAAGAGGATAAACAGAAAACTGACAATAATAAAACATTCTGCTAAATGACAGGAATTTAATCTGTGATCTTCTAAGGGTAAAAGTTTCACACTGAACATGACTAGGTGACTGCCTATCTACAAATGTATATGTAGTAAGAGTTAGGTTCCAGAAGATGGTACTCTTCATAATCCATCTTGACTTTGTACTTAGTGTCAAGATCCAAATTTTACGAGTACAACAGTCAAGGATCATGTGTTCCACTGTCAATCTATACCTAAAATCAATATTGATGCAGTCAAAAAACTAACTTCTGCTGTGAAGCAAAGAAGTGAATGTAGGATGACACAGCAGCTTAAGCATTGGTAACGGTAACAGCCCATTCCTAGTGGTCTGCTTTCTATTTATACAGTCACCAAAATGCATATGCATATATGATCTACAATTGCAGGATCATGTTTCCCTTACCATAGAATGGAGGTTCTTTTCTCTGCCCTCTGGTTCCAGAAGCCAATCAGCTACTTTGGGGTCATGACCTGTAGTAACATCCACCATTACACCGCAACATCGGGCTAAAGCTTTCACATGTTCCTTGAGGTCAAATGCACAAACATGTTTTCTAGCCAGTAAATCTTGAATTAAATCAAGCTTGCACTGTAAGTCTACACAGTTCTGGTCACCTGTTTAAAATATATTTATATAATTAAAACTCTAATATATTGTACCCTTGTTCAAAAATACCAGCCAGTCCTTCACCTAGGCTGATTATGAGTAAAGATTTCTCCAAAACCATGCAAACTTTAAGGAGAAATTAAGACATGTAATTGCTTGCATACATTTTTCAAGAAACATTTTAAAATACACATGCAAGACAGTTCACTGACAAAACATCTCCATCCATACTGCCATCAGACAGTAAGGATGCTTAATTTTGCTTAACATGAAATAACAATAAAATAAATTCTTTGCTTAAGGAATTCTGTCTTCTGGGATTTAACACCATGTAATCTGTTGAGAGTTAATTAACATTTCAGAGGAACATGTCGCCTCAATCTTCAGGGTTGAAGAGAGAGCCAATCAAGAAACCAGCATGAAGCAGGCAGCAAGCAGACCAAGTGACTTGCAAACATATTGGATTATACAGAAACAAATGGGACATTTGTAGCCAAACCGTAATTCCTATTGGATCTTTCAGAAAACCCGGGTGAACCAATAGAAGACAGAAGAAGAGTGGCTTGGTATGGCGCTTGAAAGGGCCACTTGTGCACATGTGGGAGAGAAGTCATAGGTTTGTGTGGTGGGCAAGGAACCGATGAGGATTGAAGGGAGTGGATCATAGACATGCATTTGGGGGATATGAAGAACGAAGATAGCAGAAGAAGGCCAGGAAAGGAAGGAAAGTCTTAGAGTTGATAGAGGTCTGGAGAGGGCAGGTTGGAGCTCTGACAGGGGAAGTATGAACTATTAATGTGGCCCAGCGGAGAACCCTGAGACAAAGGTTTCCTACAGTCTTTCAGGTAGCAGGTGAGAGATTTTTGTGACTTAAGGCAGAAGCTATCCTTCCTTTTTATATTATTCATATGAAGCTCAATATCAGTCACTTCTTTGATGAAGTGATCCATATACTTGGATTGATGGATAGGATGCTGTTGTTATGTACGTGGATGCTGTACTCCACCATATCTGATCTGTCTGGATGTTCTGGCCAGATTACCCAGTGGTGCTCCTTCAACCTGGAGTCAATCAAACAGCCTGTCCAATGCAGACTTAACTGCACTCACTGGGGATACTATATACTCATGAATATCCTCAGTTCAAGGTTGTCCTTGCCCAACCAAAGGAAACTAGGAACTATGAGGCCAAACGAATTATTATTGTTCTGGGACATTCTGCTAATGCAGTTGAGATTGACATGTCATAAGCAGGAAAGTCACTGAATTTGGCTTATCACTGGGTGGAGAAACCATCATGGTAGGGTTGAAAACTCTGAAAATCAGGTCATTGTGCCTGAAAGTGTCTCTCAGAAGCTCCAACTCATCATTAAGGCTGTCACAGTCACAAAGAGCTGTAGCCCTATGCACCAGTGTGGAAAGTACAGCATGCCTGTTGGATGGGCGATAATGGATCATCAGGGAGGTGATTGAGATTGAGCTCCGTCCCAATAATATGAAGATGGAGGATGGCTTCTGCCTCATCAAATCATTGAAATCTCTCATCTCCTCCATGAAAGACTGTAGGAAGCCTCCCTCACAGGATTCTCTAGTTAGATTCGTTCTCCACCGGACCACACAGGCCCATGCACACTCTCCTTGTCAGCACACCACCCCTGTGCCCTCTCCAGGCACCCATGAAACCTAAGTCTTTCCTTCCTTTCCTACTCTTCCTCTGCTGTCTTTGCTCTTATTATGTCTGAAACCCATTCATATGACATCCCTCCAACCCTCCTTGGTTCTCTGTCCGTCACACACACCTAAACTTGTCTCACCTGTGTTTGCATATGTGCACAACTGGCCTTTCCAAGGGCCATACCTAGTCACTCTATTTCTGTCTCTCATTGGTTCATTATGGATCTCTAAGAGCCAAAGGAAACTGATGAGCTGGCTTCCAAGGTTCCATCTGTTTCTATATTCCTATATGTTTGTGAGTCACTTGCTCTGGTGCTTGCCTTATCCTGGTTTCTTGCTTGGCTTACTCTTAAACCCTGAAGATGGAGGCAACATATCCTGAAGAAACCAGAAAATTTGCCTGCAGACTTACATTTAAACTGTTTAAGACTATTTTTTACTGACTGTCCTAGAGTATTCTTTTCATTCTTGGTATTAATATTTGGAATTTTCCTTCTCTTTTCAGTTTGATTTTTTCAAAAATGATTAGGGGGTGGGAGATATTTGGCTCTCCTCCCTTCTCTCGGTTAGTGTCTATGTTTGTGATTCTCAACGACACAACTATAACCTACATCACCAGCATAATCCCAAGTAGAGACAAAGCCCCTTGTTTTTGTCTGCAGAACTGTTTGGTGAATGAACATTCTATATTTGAGGGTCAGTCAAGAATAAGTTTATAAGACATATACATACAGTCAAGGTTCTTGTATTACAATCTCTGACATGAAATATGCAAGGCAATTCCATGGTCATCCCACTACTTTCTGATATAGTCTCTTCAAAAATTGAAGTACTTATATTGTGTGATGAATTTTTCTATTCTCTGTCAGTAGAAGACCATGTCCTTTTTGCTCAGCCATTATTTCCCTGTTGTTTCCATGTCATCATCATTTGAAATCTATGGTCTCGTTGATTCAGCACTGGAAAAAGATGTTAATCACTTAATGCCAGGTCAGGGCTATGTGCAGGATGCTCCAATATCTCCCACTGGAAATTTAATAAATTGTGTGTCCTTATGGCAGCATGTGACCATGCACTGTTGTGCAGAAGCAGAACTCTGTTCCAGAATTCCAGAACGTTTTCATTTGATGGTCATGCAAAAATGTGTCAGCATTGCACAATAAGTTGCTGCACTGTTCACTGTGCCTTATTGCAAAATGTATGTAAGCATAACACCTTTGTGATCCCAAAACACATTGCTCTCACAGTGGATCTCTCAATCTTAAACTTCTTTCATTGTGGAGAACCAGGGTATTCCCATTCCACACTGATACATTTTATCTCCATCATAAGATGGTAAACCTATGTCTCATCTCCTGTGACAATGAGCTAGAGAAATTCTTCATCACTGACAGAATATAGTTGAAGAAATGACACAGCATAAGCCACTCGTTATATCTTGTGGTTTCCCATTAGCACTCAAAGCATGGAGTGTACACACACTTCATTAAATCCTGAGTCTAGGATGATATTGACAAGTGTTCCATGTGATAGATTCAGTCATGTTGCAGCCTGTTCACTGTAATACTTCTGTCACTTCTGGTCACATTTTCCATGAGTGAACAATGGTCAGCAGTTCTTGATGTTGTGAGTACTTCTGGTTCTTCCACAATCTTCCATGGATTCTTCTGCCTTGAAATTCTTGACACCAATTAATAACATCTTCAACACAAACTTGCATGAAATTTCTGCTGCCAACACATATCTTGCATTCAAAATTGAATTACACCATTGACTTCAATCTTGGACCGCTGTTCCCATGGAATACTAATTCATACACATAATAAGCAGTACACTGCAAGCAAATCAACATGCAGTGCTACCTGCAATGATTAGCAAATCCCTCTAACATACCCACAATAAATGTAGGTCCTCTTGTTGCGAGATTATGCGTCTTGTAAATATACTTTCTGACCACTCCTCATTGTTACTGCTCAAGAGAACACCAGCACTAAAGACTGTACCTTGTTTTAAACTGATGTAGAAGACATCCTTCCCACCAAAGCAAAGAGCAATTCCTGACACAATTCTGTCCTCATAATACATTGTCTTTTTTTGTGTGGTGCTCTCAAGTTTCTTGTTCCTTCGGCCAATGATCCTGTCTCCTATTCTTGCACTGTTAATGCTTTCAGATGAGTTGAGTTGACTCAAGCGTTCACAGGCAACAGCTATAGCCATGGTGGATGAATGAACAGAAGTCAATTCAGATTGGAAAGCAGCCCATACTCTCTCATGTCCACAAACATAAACGATGTTAATAGAATCCCACATACTGTAATCAGGGCAATACAAAAGTAGTTCAGTAACTAGTTTTTAAGGTATTTACTTTTATCGATATAATCAAGCTAACAAAACCAATTCTTTAATTTCTCTATTTTATTTCATCACCACAGTAGGTAGTATGGACACGCCATACATTTGTTGTTTCTCACATGTTCTGGCTCATTGAGCCATCATAATGTATTTAACTTTTTTGCATTCACTTGTATTTGTCTGCTAGTAGTCCTACATTGCCCAGTTTTTTGCACATAAAATTCAATATATATGAAAGTTTTTTATGTTTTATCTGAATATAGTACTTCCATTATAAGAAACAATGAATGTCTGGTGTGTCCATACTACCTATTGTGGTGACAAAATAAAAGAAGAAATTTCACACACACAATGATACTAAGAAATAATATTTCCAATTCTTTAAATTTAAATGTTTGCATTCCATTGTGTTAAGTAAAGTTGTCCCTGTGCTTAATTACTTCAGCAATTAAGCACCATGCCATGAAAGAATATGATGGAGTGGAGGTACAAATCCACCATTCTTGACCTTGGCACATGCAGGCGAGTGGTTAGTTTCATGCCCTGACGCCTTAAACCCTAGGGAAAGTCCCTCCCCCACTACCCATTGGATAGGAGGCTGGGTGGGCCTCAGAGCCAGTCTGGATGTTGTAAAGCAGAAAGACATATCTTTCACCTGCCACAAATCAAACCCCAGCTATCCAGTCAATAGCCCATTGCTATACTGACTGAGCTATCCTGGCTCCTATTAAGTATATGTAAATATAGTGTCATGTGTATGATTGACTATAGATGGGATATGGTTTGGTGAATACATTTATTGACAACTTACAGGTCATAACTATAAATAACTATAACACTATCACTGATTTCCACACTTTACAAATCACTACATGTTAAGTCTTCTCCAGCCTGCAGTGTCTTCACTAGTAGTTACTTGGTAACAGCTCAATAATGGAGATTCTTCAGTTTCTGTACTCATGTTGTTACTGTCCGGAAAATATCTCACAACTGCACTGTCAATTTAATTACAGTGTTATCTCTTCTCAACCTCACTAGTCATTGCCCAGTAATGGCCTTCACTATGCATCATTTGTTATGGTTCCCAACGATGGAAATTCTTCTGCTCTCATGTTTACATTGTTGCCAGCTGGCTACCATTTCACAATTAATTCATGATGGAAACTAACTCAGCTGCACCTCATGACCTCCTAGTCCTAACTCTCACTTGCTGTCAGCTACTATGGCAACTGGCTCAGTTGCCTTGACAGCTCTTGCTATATAGTCTCGACATGGACTGCATAGCAAACGCCACTCCCAGCAGTTCTTCTATTGTTGTCACAGGCCGTCACCTAGTGAAGGTCAATTTGTTTATAGAGCCATTACTTCACAATAGCCAATGTTTAAGTAATCATCACAATATTTTTATGATGAGTCACTTCTGATATATCTGATATAGGAGTAGAAAATATTAGTGGCTGCTGTACATTCTTATTTCACTGTCCAAGGTCAAAAATTGTATGTCAAACAAACCAAAAACACTTGGTGATTTTAGTCTGCAAGTGAACTATACTGACTGAGCGACCGCTGCTTGTCGGCGAAGTTTAGTGCCAACTTTTGCAGATAGAGGGTGTTGCGTGGTCAGTGCAACGAATCCCCACGGCCGTTAATTTCGGTTTTCTAGACCAGAGCCCCTATTCCTTGAAAGAGCTCCTCAATTATCATCATGAGGCTGACTGGACCCTGTTCCAGACCCACTACTTCTCAGGAAAAAATCTGGTAGCACAGGAAATCGTACCCGGACCTTGAAATGTTCTGAACCAAAATGGGAGCCTAATTACAGAAAAAAATGATACCAGTATAAATAAAATCCTATTTACAATGTGAATAATTACAGGTATACAAGAATTTTAATATAATAAGAATCTGAAAGTACTACATATACAAATGAAAGAAAAAAAGAAATATTAGTCACAAACCACTTAATTCACAGTAAACATTAAATTGCATTCAGTCAGTGTGGTTAAGATAGTTGATATATTAAATTATGTTGATTTCCAGTGGAATTATTCTATATAAAACGAAAAGGATAGATTACAGAGTTTCAAGATAATATTTACATCGCTTTTCTGGAATGGACCTCATTCATCACAAGTTTTGATACAGGCTTCAGGGCTCTACTCGGCTGCTGGGAGGAATGTGATGGACTTTTTGATGCACTTCTTATGTCTCTCCCTGACATCTTACATCTGACTTTCCCCAGTCTGCCACTGCCTCTGTTAACAAACAATACTACTTCAAGGCCATAAATACCAAACAGTAAAGGAATCCTTGGTTTATCTAATGACACTATTCCAACTGCATAGGTTATACAAAATCAATCAAGAAAATACAGAATGATTATGAATGGTGATTTAGAAAGAATGTGACGGGAAAGAACTCTCATACTCTGTTCCAGGGGCTGTGCAACGCTTGCCTAGAGGGACTAAGAAGAACTACAAGAAATTTCAGCCAGGTTGGGTAGTATCTTGGTCAAGATTCAAACTAAGGATCTCCCAAATATAAAGCTAAAACACAATGTTCTGTATCATGTACTGCATATCCTGACATTTCAACTTCAGAACAAGAAGAGTATTTTGTGTGAAAATAGTAGTGTTGGAACATAAGTATGTACCACTATAGACTTACTGAAGAAAAGGAGGTTTGTTGTAATAAGCAACAGGGAATTCCAGGTAGAATTCATGAACCCTACCTTCCTATTGCCCAGTGAATGAATGTATGAGGGTTAGGCCTCCTCTGCCCTTGCACCGCGAACTACAGTGGTCTACTGTGCTTTCCTATTGCCCAAACTTTCAGTCCTACAAATTTTGTGGTTAATATCATATTTAGAATAATGCACATTTTAATCCAACAATAAAATGCATTAGGGTAGAGATGTTTGTTGTTATAAAAGTAATGCAAGAAAAGGTAGGTCCCCCTTATTCCAACAGGAGGAGCATTATAAGTATATTTTATTAAAATGTACCAGAACTAGAAACTGAAATTGGAACTGTTATGTAAAACATGGTTATTAATTAATGAATAACTAGTGTATATGGATATAATAAGTTGTAAAAACAGACCTTATCTTTGGAATACTGGAAGATTAATAATCCAAATGGGGGGAAAGATGTAGAAAACCAAAATCTAAGATAAGAAAATATCAATCAGAATAAACTAATGTAAAATTATAAGCAGATGTGTACTGTTTATGTGAAACCTGAATAGACATACTCTTAACTGTAAACTGATATAAGGACTGTTCACCAAAACAACATGGCATTTCATGGGGTACAGGCCCATGTAGTTGAGCATTCTTTTATAATTTCTGTAAATTTCATTGCATTCTAGTCATCTAATCGAGAAACTACAAATGCATATAAAGTCAGAAGATGATGTTGACAATAACATGTACACCTGTACACAAAGCATGTAGTATAACTGGCAGTGAAATCTGCTGATGTGATTGCCTAATATGCCAGTACATTAGTATGAGGATGGAGGAATATTATGTATCCATCCACCATTTGCAGTAATTTAAAAACAAAATATTGCTGCTGCTGATGAATAATTTGAGGTTTTCACAATTGTGACTATGAAGACTACTAGCTTCTGGAATGTATCACAGCATAGTCTAGTAAAAGTTTATTGGCATTTCAGAAGAACATACTGTCTCCATCTTCAGGGTTGAAAAATAATCCAAGCAATAAGAATAAAACTTACACTGCTTGCTGCTTTCCTCTTCAGCTTACGCTTCAACCCTGAAGCTGGTGGCAGTATGTTCCACCAAAACTTCAGTAAACTTCTACCAGACTATATGGTGGCATACCCCAGAAAACAGTACTCCTCATTATGATGGCAATAAATTACATAGTAGTAGAAGTAATAGTAGTAGCACTGTTGCTGAGATTATAACTATCATGCAAGAAAAACTCTAAGAAATCACATACCGTTTTCTTTCACTATCTTCACAATCTTGTGATGAAGTAATAAGATCATCCTCAGCTTCTACATCTGAGCTATCACTACTGAACTGAAAAATTTTATTTGCCTTTGTCTTGCATACTGTTGGACTATGGACTGGTGAAGATTTCAGCTCTTTAACAATGGGTTCTGCACTGGCTACAAACTCTGTCTCTACATGGCAAGGTGAAGATGGAAAGTCTGCGTTATTATTTCGTCTTCCTAGAAGAGATTGTGATCTACAGTCACGCAAATTCTCTCCAGAATCCAGCCTTTTACTAATAGATCTGTTTTTATTTTTCAGAACTTCAGGATACACACTGGGCACAAGGGAATGTGTTTTTTGGCAGTTATTATGTTCTTCAGCATCTAATGAGCCTCGTGAGTTCTTCATTTTGGCAACTGTCTGCAAACAATCAGAACCATCTTACACTGTAAGTTATTTATAATGCATGTACAATTGTTTTTAAGTATTTAAGTATGAGATAATTATTCTGTCACAATATAGGAAAGTCTGTTATACAACAACATATTAGTATAACAAACCCAGATGTAAAGAATATATATATATATATAAGAAACTGTGCTTTCTTTCTTAAACCTAGTGTTCTTTGACTTCTGCATTAAACAAAGTAGAATCTGCTTTGCAGATTGTCATGTTCCTTTAAAAATTATTAAATAATGACACATTAAACTGAGACCTTGTATGGATGCAGTATACACTTAACAGTCATGAGTTGGCCATTGCTCCTAAGTCATCAGTCTGCTGTTATGAGCAAGGCTTACTAGCTATACTACATGTTACTTTTGACTTAAATTTAAATGATTTACCAGGATTAATTTATAATCAGTTCGTATACTGCATGTAGATTTTTGAAGGATGAGACTTACTATACCATCAGAACAAATAATTTGTTTTTATATGAGATCTGAGGTTTCTACAGCAGTGAAAATTCATATTATGTTCCACATGTTAGGTAAAGACCTCTACCCTGAAGATGGTGGCCCTATGTTCCTCTGAAATATTGATTACCACCTATCAGACTTCATGTTATCATAACCCAGTAGGTCACAAAGGACTGTGTCTTTATACCGATAATGGAATAATGTATCATGTTACAAAGAAAACAGTGAGAAAGCCCAATGTACATACTCGTATGCAAGAACATAATGAGCATATCAAGTATATTTTGTGACAGTTAACACTAGCATTTAATTGCATATCATATCTATTCAACTATATAACAACTACCACCACAGTGGGAAATTTTAAGGAAAATAATGTTATACTTGTCCAGATAAAATTCTTAGATACAAATCTCTGGCAAGAACAGGGATAGCTCAGTCAGTACAGTGAAAGGCTATGTGCTGGTGTGCTGGATGACAGGGGTTTAATTCCCAGAGGGGCAAGATATTTTTTTTATTCCAAAGCATCCAGACTGGCTCTGAGACCCAACCACCTCCCACCCCATGGGTAACAGGGGCCTTTCCCGGGGAGTAAAACAGACTCCTCACCTCCACCCAATACCAGTTTCAAGATTGGTGGAGCTATACCTTCACCCTCCCATACATTCTTATGGCATGGTGTTTAAAGTACAGGAATGTTACCATTCACTTTCTTTGCCTTCTTTCTTAATAATTTTCAGTTCATAAACTGTTCTCTCAGTAGAACATGCATCCAGTAATTATTGTTCTTCATCTTTCCTCCCTTGCCCTAGCTGTTCTATATTTCCTAGATGCCTTGCAATTACAATTTACAACACTTAACTTTCTCCTTAATGTAAAGTTTGTTGATTTCAATGTGCTCTTATGTGCAGATTATGACAGTGTTACCAAAAATATTCTATTGCCCACCATTTTCTTTGGAAAATTACTTTAGTGATTAATTTTTAAAGTGGAACATCTCATAGCACCAACCCACTGGTCAGGAGACTATGAATTGATTTATTCAATCAGCAGTTTTCTTCGTGTTCCTCAGTTATCAGTAACAGCTCTGCAACTGCTGAGAATCAGTTCCATGTTGATATATTTTTCACCAAAGTAACCTAATTAATAACCCCTTGAAGTCTAGCAGACACTTCTTGGGGCACTCTATACATATTTTTTATAGTCTCTGCCTTGACACATGTGGGTGATACAAAATTTTCAAACTCAGAATGAAATTACTAGAATGACCCAATTTTCTTTGAAGGGTAGAAAACATTGTTTTGTTATACACTGTTATTAGTTATACCTCTTAAAGCAATTAACAATTATGTATATAGGAATCTTCCTGGAGGTAAAGGCTAACAACATCACTGCCACCCATGAGTGGACTGTGTAGAAATGTGGAGGCCTCAGTGTCTCAGAACCATATGGGCCTCCATAGCCTGTCACTGGGACAACTTTACCTTTTTATATATGCTCAATGTAAACACTAATATAATTTACCATATATTAAATCAGTTCTTAACCACAGAGAATTACTACACATCCGTAAACTAAGTGACAACTGGAAAGCCCGGGGGTACATATTGAAACACCCACAGAGTATTACATTATTGCCAAAGAATGTTCTGCATCCTTTCTTTGGTTTAGCAGTATCAAAAAGACAGTACATAAGAATTCACATTTGATGGATGTTATTAAATGTAGTTCAAAAGTTCAGCCACACTTCCAAAAATACTGAATTAGTCAAACACTGTGCAACTGTGGCAGTAATTGTGATAGAAATAAAAATGACAAGTTTAAAACAGTAAACTTATTAATTTAAACTTTGCCATTAAACCTAGTTTACAGACCTCAACAGAACTCTCACAAGAATTTCCTTTTTCTTTATCTGCAGCAGCTGACAAAAGACGTGGAGATCTTCTTCTGCCACACCCAGACTTCTTCTCCTTACTAGATGATTGTCCTGTGGTTCCCTTGTTATCAAAACTAAGTTGTTGGTGCCTAAGGTTACTATGAGTATCAACATCTTTTGTTGATATATTACTTCCAGCATCACTGTTTACATTTTGATTCACATGATCTATTTCCTTCTTGATTTCCTTACACTCTGACTTTTCTTCCCAAATAGTATTGAAAGCAGCTTCAAGAAATGAGTTGCTAATAATAAAAGGAGGCTGGCTAACATTCTTGCCTCCTTTTGAATTATCTCCTAATCTCTGACTGAGTGAAGAACTATCTGCTGGTGTCACCTCATCTTTGCTGTCTGGCTTATGTGTTGGTGTAGTGGACACACTGGGAGGAATGAGGACACGGAGTTCAGGTAATGTACGGGTTTTACCTGTACTAGTGCCAACTTTATCTAGTCCCAAGTCAAGGCTAATTTTATCTTCCCTTTTGATTTCTGCAATTTTACTATCCAAATCCCAGTAAGTATCAAAAGCTCCTTCAAAGAAGGAGTCTGTAATGCAGTCAGCATCTTCTGCATTTAGCAGTTCATTTACCCTTACAGGATTTACTCCCTGGTTCACATTTGTAAAGTGCACTTGTTTGTCAGGATGCTGTCTCTTTGGAGGCATATTTTTATTGGATTCAAATGCTCTCTCATTCTTTGTATGAAGCCAGTATTCTGCATTGCCATTTTCATTCAAAACTGAGAGCTCTGTTTCTGCCCAAGTCACCTCACTTTCATCACCAGCAATTTTACATTTATTGGAAATTCTTTTCCTTTTTCTATTATTGAATTCACTTTCAGAATAACTGAAATCACTAGATATGGATGTTTTTCGCTTCCTTCTTAAAGTTTCTTTCAAAGGTGTATTACTTTTACACAGTTTTCCCTGCAATTTTTCATTCAAATGGTAGGTAGCTGGAGACACCAAACCTTTTTTTGTTTTAAAATTATATTTAAAAGGTGATATGGCAGTCTGCTCATCAACAGAACGAAAATGTATTTCCTCAGAATAAACACTATGAGGGTCTGAAACTTCCTTGTCTGTTGAATCAGAAGATGATAAATTAACAAGTATTCCTTTCCTGCCCATGGAGTCTCTGACAATGTTTGAAGCTGCAGGCAGTTCCAAACTTTCAATTTCTGAATGATATACAGAAGAACTGGTTATTTTGTCTAGCATTTCACCATCATTATTGCCCAACTTCATAGCATTATGAGCAGTGTTTGTACCCTTTGATAAGGTATGAAATTGACTCTGTTTCTTAAATGAAATATTTTCCTTCATTTTATCATTTACTTCAGCTTCACAGGAATGTAATTCATTGACTACATCTTCTGTATGAAGTTTTGCAGAATTCAGAATATCCGAATGAGACACAAGGCTTCTCACAGGGTTGGATTCTTCTATATGCTTATGGCATTCTCTCCCATTTTTAATATGTTCACCTTGACTGAAACTGTTGCCACATTTAGATACTGAAGTCAGACACTGTTGATCCTTCACATCATCGGGTACTTGCTGGATGATGTGATCAGTGGATGATATTTTATTATAATCTTGTGCCTGATTCTGACAATTCCCTTCTGCTATTATTTGATGTTCATCACAGCATCCATCCAACAATTTAACAAGTTGTGTGTCCACAACAAGGCTGTCCCCAAATAAAACTGGACTCTGATTATCACCTTCCGCATGAAGGATACAGTTTCCCCCTGATATTGGTGATGAGAAGAAATCTGAACTCACCCTCTTGTTATCTGTCTCTGTTAGAATAATTTTCTCCTTTGTTTCCAGTCCTTCACATAGGACACCTAACGAAGTATCCCTGTTCTGATCAAGTGTCTTATGATCTAACTCTCCAGTATCCTCTTTTAATAGTTCAAGCTCTTGATTCATATTATAATTTAATAAATATTCGTCAGTAGGACATATGTTTGCCAAATGTTCATTATTTTTAATCACTGTATTATTTGTTATTCTAAAAGAAGACAGAGAAGTCCTTAGACATTGCTCTTTGTTGCTACATACATTTGGAACAGTGGTCACCTCTCTATTTAAATTTTCTGAAGATGGTTCGTTGCTAATCTCTGGTTTGTTATTCTGCTTAAATTGTTGAGTTTTTTCATGCAGCTTACTTTCTGAGATTTCAAGAGGTGAACCAAAATAATCTGTACTCTGATTTACTTTATTAGTTACAGACAGACTATTGTCAGATGTTTCATTAAGGGCAGACAAGGAGCTCAGTAGATTCTGTTCATATCTGCTTTCTTTTGATAATGAACCATTAACTGTCCTGAAATTAGAACTGTCCATTTTATTGCACTGTACCTGGTTTGTAATAATAGGTACTGCTTGGTATGGTTTACCTGCAGCGAAGGTTTCAGATATCAGCTCTTTAGACAAAATAACCTTTTTTGATTTACAAATGCTTCTCTTACAAGAAGCGTTTTTAGAAATACTACCAGAAAGTATTTTAGAATTCTTGGCTTTTCCTAACCTAAAACGAAGCTTTTGACTTGTACACATCTGTGAAGACTTGTTTTGGCTGCATTTCAACAATGGTGACGATGAAACATAATCTTCATTGCTTAATTCAGATGACAGATATTTAAATTTTGTTTCTCCAATTTCAGTTTTAAAATTCTGCATTTTATATCCTGATAAAATACAACATAATGAATTCCTTCTTTCCTGTTCTGTGAGCCTCTTATTAATATCAGAAAGGGGCATTTTTGGCTTAATTTCTTTTAGCAATAATGGAGATGACTGAAGGCGACATGAAGTGGATAACTGGTTAGTTTTTTGTTCAGGACACTTGGAGGTTTTATCATGGAGTTGATATCGTTCCTGTTCACTGTGGATACTCTGTTTTGATGGGGACTGACTGTCATGACCTGATTTATCACTTTCTTGGTTGTCCCATTTAGCATCAGCTAAACCCAATTCTTTTTGAAGAAAGGAACGAGAATCATAAATTAACAAAGATGCAGCCTCCCTTTCAGTGAGTCCTTGACGTCCTGTAATCCATACATTTCTTAATTTCTTGCGCTGTTTTGTGTCAAAGGATGTCTCTCCATCCAATTCTCTGCAACTGCAACAACAATAAAAAAGTATCTTGTTTATTATCTTCATTGGCCATACATTGCACTGTTTTGACAGTGCACTTGTAGTCCAGCTAACTGCACGTCACAATATTACAACATTAAAATACCCCTTCATTTCAAGCCAGCCTACAGCAGCTATGGCACTGAAATTTTCTGCAGTGCTGTACACGGTATACCCACTTCTGTGGTGCTTTTCTGCTGTGAAGTATTTATAAAATTTGACCCTAAGAGTGTCATACTTGGCCTGTAGGATCATGCTCCACATCCTGTTCATATGATTGTTATATCAATACTCATTCACACTTGTTCTATATAACAGTGACTGATGAAAAGAGGTGAGATGGAACCTTATGTGAAGTGAAACTAGTTGTAAGGCACTTAGAGGATATTCTATATAAGATCTGAAATTCAGCAGTGATTAAAACAGAATTGTATTGCATGATGACTAATTTTTAAGACCAAAATGGGGGAAAATAAATGTTTCTTACTGTTTTCATTAAAATATTGTATCTATAGATGATAATGTATTTTTCAGACTGATACACATTTCCATCAACTCTCAGATTATATAACTATTTATTTTAATGAAAAAATTGTTTAGATATGTCAAAATTGAGTATATTGTCAGAATGACAATGTAATGAATTTTGGCATATCATCATCAAATGTTCACAATATGTTTTAAGCTAATGCTTTATAATATTTTTAATCATAAACTTACAAAAGTAACTTTCTGTATAATGAACGAATGAGCATAACGTCTTCCAAGAAATAAAACAAACCTCTGGAAGGGCACAGCTTTGTGGAGGGCATTTTCCACAGCACACACATCTGAAGCAGCAAGATCAGCAATTGTACAGATGCCTGCATCAAACAAAGCTCGTGCCCTCAGTCCATTCAACCCATCAAGCCTCATCAAGTCACACAATTCTCGTTGAACTCCAAACTGGAGGCGATCTTGGAACTGAGAAACTAGAAGCTCCAAACTAGACCATCGAAGGCGTCGGCAAAAAGCTGTTACCATACCTACATGATGCAATGTATACCAAAAGTAAAACAAAATTATAATTGTAAAATAATGTTATGCTAAAACAGGCATAGTTTTATCATTAGTTCAGTTACGTTTTTCAACTCAGTATTTCAACAATATAAGGACAGTTCAAAAAATAATAAGGGTAAACAGAACATTATTTTAGAGGAATAAATGACAATACAGCAAAAAATATATGCTGGCAGCATTAAGCTATCATGTGAAATAGCGACACCTATTGTTGGTATTATCAGTTGTGAGTAAACGGCATAAGGTAAATGTGCTGAACTATGCCTACAAAGGGACAAATGAAATAATTATTGTGCAATCATAGTGTGACATGTTGCGCAACGGAGGACCCCTACCTCTCCAGCGGCACGTGGCGGTAACGTAGCGCTCCCTCCCCCCACCCCCTTCATGGTGACTTAAGACGGCGCGAGGTAACAGCGTTGCTAGGCTATACGCCACATCACAGTAGTGACGTGGTGGGCGACCCTAGCAACAGCGAATGGAATAAAAGCTGGCTGAGCAGCAAGCGAGAGTCAGTGTGTTATCAACGAGTTCTCAGTTCGCAAGTTATGAGCTACAGACGCGTGTGCGAGAATCAGTGATAGTTCGTGATAACCAGTTATATTTGGAGTGTGTAATTCAGCGAGACTTGTATAGCTCCCGCGCTATTAATACGTGAAGACTCTGGAAGATAGTGTTAAGGGATTTTGTTGTAGGGTTTGTAAAGTGTGGAAACCCGTAACATTGTGATAATTAATTGTAGCCGTTATTTGTAGGTTGTTGAATAAACCAATTAACAATCTCTACGGCATATTCAGTAACGAAACACATTACATTGGTGTCAGAAGTGTTTTACGGACTTGAACACGCCTCGACAAATAATTGAATTATTGTGAATCGAGTATTTTACTGCTACAACATGGACATGGAAAAGATGCGTTAATTTAAGGAGAACTGCCATAAAAACATTCTGTATGATCCAAGAAGCCTGTGGTGAGAAAATCATGATACATGCTACTGTTTCTTATTAAGGGCAGGGGGACATTTCCTGAAAGCAGTCAATCTATAGGACAGGCAGACCTTCAGCTTCTCAGAATAACATAATAAACACAGCTGCAGTTTTCTTGTGAATTCACTTCTGTCTCCTGTGCAATTCACACTAAAATTTTTAAAATTCAAAATTTAAATTTTTAAAACTCTTAACTCTTTCGGGTTGTATATCTTTATTTGCCATATTTCACACAACATGTTTCAGCCTATTAGGCCATCATCAGGTGTATTAAAATTGTTTGGTGAAATTGCTGCACTTTTATATACTGTTATAACTCTTCTTCTGATTTTATGACTTAATCTGAAATTCTGAAATACAATTCCTTCTTTTTGTTTGTGTAGCGTGTGCTGGTGATTGGTATATTTTTGAGGTGCTGTGCATATTTCCTTCTCTTGTGTCTTGTGTAGATGCTAAATGTAGTTATTGTTCACAAAAACTGTCACATTAATATTTGTAAACTTACCAACATTTCAACACACAGTGCATATGCAATGCTGCATACTAACATTGGGATGAAACTAGTATGATGAAACTGTTGGATTCCTAGGTTATAAACACCTGATCAGATAGAGTACTGAGTTACTGGGTATCAGGGACTTAAAGGGCATTTTGAAGAACACAGTAATGCATTTGTACACATCATTCTTGTTGGCAAATCATGTCTGTTTCAATACAGTGCCACTACCAAAGAACAAAACTGAAATGGAAAATCTCAAGTTCTCTGGCCCTTTCATAACAACTAAAAACAACAAGAAGTGCTGGAAAGGTTGTGATGATAATCCCTTCATAACCACTTAGTCATTCTGTGCCACAACATTTCAGGTGGAAATGATAAAAACAGCAATCGATCATTCTCCTTCATCATAATAATGCATACCAGCCTGTGATTTTTTTTTTTTATTTTCTGCAGAAGAAAAGGAATCAGAATTGTATCACAGCCTCCCTACGGCCCACACTTGCCACTCTGTATCTTTTGGCTCTTTTGGAGTTAGAAAAAGAGATCAGGACAGATGATATCTGTCAAATCTGTCAACTGAATAATGAATCATAGCCATGAGAATGTAACTAAAGGTGCCAACAAAGGATGATTTGAACCAGAGGTTCCAATCTTAGATAAAGCAATGGGATAAGTGGACTGCATTCCAAGGTGAATATTTTGAAAACAATTTTGTTAACATGAACAATTAAATATACATCAAAGTGCTGTAGTTTTGTATTCCTTTGTACTGCAATGCATCAAGACAACTTCTAAAGCACATTTAATCAAATTTACATCTACAAAATCTGACAGACAGAAATAATGAAAGGAAAATTTTCAAGAATGCTCCCAGAGTTACAAATGTCATGTAAAAAGATAGAGGATAGTAAGATAGAGACAAATCATACAAATGTTATACAACAGTGAGGTAAACTAGGCATTACACAGCACATGAAATGTTATGTTTCTTGAAGAAAGGCATAAATTTACTTAAGGAGATTTATGGCTATATGTGATGTCAGGGCCAAATGGCAATGGAAGATGTCCAGATTTCAAAGCAATTGAAATCAGAAATTTTCTTCTTCTTTGTCTTCTTCACTTCAAGGATTTAGTCATTAGCCTGTTCCAGTCTATTTATGGCTCTTCCCATCTCTTCCTTTGTCTTCCCACATGTCTCTTGACATATGCTTTGTGAGCAATAACTTGTTTAGGAATACAGGTTTCATCCATTCTTTGAAAATGCTCTTTCCATTTCTCTCTATATTCTTCAATTTTTTCTGCTGAATGAGAAAATTCCCAGTTCTTTCCTTCTTTTTTTGTTCTATTTCACTGCAACTCTTCGTGGATATTAAACACTTCATCTGAGTTGCTACTCAGTCCTTAATCTTTATAGTCCAAGATTCATTGCCTTATTTTTGTGGAACTTCAGTATTGTTTGTATTGTATTGTATTGTATTTATTACACGTTCCAGCACATCCATACAAGGCCGAAGCCACTGGATACAGAACCTGTCACACCACAAGCTTGCTAAATCAGCAAGTAGTCAACAGAACAATGCATATAAATCCACAACAATAAATCAAGCATATGAAACCCTACACATCACTGCAACTACATAACCTACCATGTGTATATAAAATATAATACAGAATTGGAACATATACATGACACTAGATCAAATAATGGGTCATAGCTAAACAAGAAACTATCCCTAATTAAAATATTCATCTAAAGTGTAATAGGATTTAGTATGTAAAAAAGCATTTAAAGTTGCTCTAAATTGCTTAATATACTGAATTAACTCTTTTATATTTAAAGGAAGATGATTAAAAAGTTTAATACCAAAATAATAAGGTAAGTTGTCATATTTGTCTAAGAGTGATAAAGATCAAAATTACGCCAAGTATTAAGGCCATGAATTTGGGATGTCGTGTGATATAAACCCATATTATTTGCAACAAACATCAGCAAAGAAAATATATATTGGGACTGCAATGGCAAAATTCCCCAGTCCCTAAATGCATCTCTACAAGAGTCCCTAGATCTCAACCCACTCATGGTTCCAATTATTCTCTTTACAATTCTGAAAATGTGCATACTATAAGAATTGCCCCGAAAAATAATTCCATAGGACAAAAGTGAATGGAAATAAGAGTGATATCCCATTTTAATGTCTCTGTGGACATAATGGACTTGATCACCCTCACTGAGTAACAAGCCTTGCACAATTTAGGCATGGGTTGGGATATATGAGCTTTCCAAGTATATGAGCTTTCAATAGCTAATCCCAAAGATTTCAAATTTGCACTGCTTAAAATCACATTATTATGATAATTAACAGAAGATACACTATTAGAACTTGGCTTTATCATAAATAGAACATGTTTAGTTTTGTTAATATTTAGAGTTAATAAGTTTGAATTAAGCCAATCATTAAGATAAGCAAAGGAAATATCAGCATCATTTCTGTATTGCATATTATTGTAACTACTAATAACTAAACTTGTATCATCTGCAAATAAAACTGATTTGACTGAGTTATTAAAAATTTTAGGTAGATCATTTATATAAAAGAGAAAAAGAAGTGGACCAAGAATGGACCCCTGTGGTACACAATGCCTACCAATATCCCAACTAGAGGTACCAACATATCTGTTCTAGTCTGTCTCTTTTCAGTACTCCTGAAATAGTTCCACATTGTTTTGAAACCTACTTACTTTTCAATGTCACATCAAGACAATTAAAATTTTTCGCTTGTTTTAATATTACCTATTCTGAAGTATCTTTCAACAAATTGAGTACTTTCCCTTGAAAGCCACAATTATTTATTTTGTGGCAGAGACTCTAAAATTATAATCATTAAATACTATATTATTTAACTGAAATATAATTTTCAGGAAATCATCTTCATTTTCTGATATTATAATCGAACTGTCAGCAAATGCTAAAATACGTAAAACTGTCTCACTGCTTGATTAATCTTGATGTCTCTTGACAGCCGGCCATTTCCCAAATTGCATGCGTTTCTCTGTCTTTATGAATGTATATCTTAATATTTGCAGTAAATGGTTTAGATCATCTCTTTTAGCCATTATTTCCCAAAGCTCTCCATCTACTTGATCAAAGCTTACTCTAGGTAACAAAAAACAATATATAGTTCTCCATTAAACTATTTCCTCCTTTGTTATTTGCTTAATTGTAAAAACATTGTCAGTACAACAACATCCTCATCTAAAATTTTATATTTTAATAACAGGGCTTCAGCAATATTTAGAATTCTGTTGTTAATAATTTTTCAACAAACTTCATATCCATTAATAAGATGGCTAATTCCATGATAACTATAACATATATTTCTTTTTCCTCTTTTAAATTTAATTACTAGTTTAGTTTGATACCATACAACTGGAATAGAGTATTTCCAACACATATTTAACAAAGAAAATAGTATGTCATAAAGGGAAATGCCTCCATATTAAACAGTTCGCCATTTATTCAAGATTTGTCCTGTGGCTTTCTGTTTTTAATTCCATTTGTGGCCTTTTTGTAATTATTCCTTTGTAATCAAATCTATCTCTTCTAATTTATCACTTTCTTTATCATTTTTTCATTTTATGTCTTCTATAATTATTCCATAGCTCATTAAAAAATACAACTCATTCCTCTTCTTTTATATTATTTATCAACATCATATTTTTATTCGCTGTATAATTCTTTCATAACTTTATAGGCCATTGGTTGTCATCCATATGTATCATGTTCTATTACTCTCATAAAACTATCCAAGAATCTTGATGAGCTTCTTTTACAAATGGCCAAGTTCCTTTTCTTTTTTATTCCTCTTTCCTTAGTTATTTCCAAAGCTATTCAGGGTAGAGAAATGAGTTTAATGTTATGCTGAAATTAAGGAATACAAGGTGGTATCAGAAAGTCCCCAGACTGTTACTGTTGTAACTGCCTCGATGAAAGATGAGAGGGGAGGCTAAGATCACACTTCTGCAAGCCTATTGCATCAGTCTGCCACATGACACCATGCTGTGAACACGCATTGCTTTCATATGAGTTCTTTTTCAACTTCATGTTTCGCTTTGTGTGGGATGGAAAGCAAAACTGAGCAATGTGTCTGCATCAAGTTTTGTGTGAAGCTCAGTAAACCCACTACTAAAATCCTTGAAATACTTTGTGAGGCTTTTGGAATGGCATTCACGTTTCCAAGGCCGGTCGAGTGTCAGACGAAGATGATGAACATTCAGGACGACCAAGCACCAGAAAAACCATAGAAAATGTTGAAAAAATTTGAGAACTCATCAATCAAGACTGTCGACAAACAATCCATGAGCTCACAGACACTGCTGGGATCAGTTATAGAGTTTGCCAGGAGGTCTTATCAGAAAATCTGAACATGCACCGCACTGTGCCTTCATCACGACAGCCCTCCCACACTTCCCTGAAAACCACAGAGTTTGTGGCTTACAACAATATGGTTATCATTCCCCATCCTCCCTAATAGCTGGACTTAGTCCCCAGTGATTTAGCTTTGTTTCCCAAATTGAAAATGAGACTGAAGGGACGGCGTTTTCAAACAGTGCGTGACACCCAAAATGAATCACAAGAGGTACTCGAGAGCATCAAGGAAAATGACTTCCACTGTGCTTTCAAAGCATGGGAAAAATGATGGGATTGCTGTATACATTCCCAAGGAGACTATTTTGAAGGAGATGGCAGCCAAAATTGAGTAAGTTAAGTCAATATTTCTTTTTTGACCTAGTCCGGGAACTTTCCGATAGCATCTCGTACAGATAAAAGAGGTCAATATTAGATTTCACAGAGAAAACAAACAACATATTCTTTATCTTATTGCCAAAACTATTATAATAACCACCTGCAAAAGTAGCAGCTGACTGCTGTAGAGACTGCAACATGCCTCTTGAGCAACCAAACTTTGTTGCAACAACAGCTAAAGGAACTTCATTGACCAGGTCATGCAATGCAAGAGCTGTATAAAATCGGCGATGAACAGACATCTTTTGTAACTGAAAAACACACAGTACACTTGCTGTAAGAAAATATGAAACAGAAATGAATGTGATGATGGTAAGTTAGGGGGTTTTAAAAGAAGCTGACAATGAAGTATGCTCAGGCAATCACCTGAGTTGATGAAAAATTCATGTAACCTGCTGCTGGAGAAAAGTTCAGTTTTTATATGGCCATGCAGACTGTTGGAGAAACTCTGACTACACTATAGCAGGTCAGTTTGAATATCAAAGACAAAACGCACAATTTTCAAAACAAACATCTGCATGTTATAATTTCCTTTTAGAACTATATATTCTTAAGCATATACCTGTAAGTACGAGAACTGCAGGGGGAGAGTTTCACAGAAATGAATATTAACTGATAAATGATATAATGATACAAATTCCGTCCCAAGCGCAAACAATATATTATGTGTCCTTGATCTTGCTCCTCTACACTACATGTTTCAGCCTCAGACGGCCATCATCAGGTGTATAACACTCACGTTGCTGTCACACTGCACCCAGCCCAAAATTTAACATTTAAAACACTTTCCTTTTATCAACATCTACTTCGTTGATATCTGTCTGGTTTGTAGATTATTTTTCACACGTTAATTTTGACGTTCTTATAGTAGCACTATAAAATCTTTAGTTCTAATTTTAAAATCCTTTAAAATTTTTCTCTAAATTTTAAATTTTAAATTTAAAATTGTTAGGGTTATTCGCCCTATGTCTAAAGTGCTGCAGCGGCTAGTTCTTGTTTCCACACTGTATAGGTGTTATCCTGTGCAGTCTTCCTGTGTGATCAAGGACACATAATATATTGTTTGCACTTGGGACGGAATTTGTATCATTATATCATTTATCGTATGGAGTGCAACAGGATGCTTAAATATAATATTGAATATAAACTGAGTATATATAATTTCAAGTGATAACGTAAGTGTCAGTCACAGTGGCCTTGCAGTCCAAGGCATGAAATGTCTTTGCTTGCTCGAACACTGGGATTGTGAGTTCGAATTCCATTCAAGGCATGGATGTTTGTCTGTATTTATTCTGTGTTTGTATGTAGGTAGCAGCCTTGCACCAGGCTGATCACTCATCCAAGGAGTCCTACAGACTGTCTAAGATTAAGAAACTGAAGTGAAACAAAGTGTTTGACAGATGCCCTATGGTCCAAGTGGGAGTAACAGGAATAAAGATAGAAGATGGACAGATAGATAATGTATGTTAATTACTGTTGCTTGAGCTGAGTGCACACAAGAGGGGGAGTAGTATTATCTGGCATTCATATGTCTCCTATTCAATCAATATATCAAAATTCTCTCTCTTCTGGTTTGTTTGAGAACCAACTCTGCTGATGCTGAAGGCTGCAGTCACTCAAGCAGCCATGAGATATTTCCCAAAGGATGATATGCTATGTAAAGCAGCTGTACAAGTTCTCTTGAGTCCAGATCAATTCATCTGCAGTGCAGTGCAAACATGTGTTCAATTAGTTCGGTCCAGTGCAATGCAGAAGCAGACATTAAACAGTGAGTGCTGTGTGTCACAAGTCTGCAGTGCAGTAAATTCATGAATTAATCAAAGTAGTCAAGTCAGTTTTCAGTTCAGTTCAGTGAAAAGGAAGAAAAGATTAAAGAGATGAGTGTCAGTCAGTGAGTAGTGGTATTGTAGTGAAATACTGAGTGCACAAAGAACTGACCTCAAGAGAATACATGGATATGGACAGTTGGGCAGTAGCTGCTCCAAATATTGATAAACATTGTGACTGGTGTCAGAAGTCACACCGAAGATTGATTCAGCCTTGCAACTAGTTTTGCAACAGTCCAAAAAGCCAAGAAGACCTCAAAAAGGACATAAGCACCAGTCAAGAAAGCCTTGAATGTGAAATAGTGCCATCAAGAATGGCTAATGCATATTCAAAGAATAACAGACACACCAGGCAAAAAGTTGAAGGATGCCATGGCAGTGGTTAACTAGCAGGCCCAGAATCTTCATGAGAAAAATTCAGCAGTGAGCTGCAACTGACATGATGAAACATGGAAGCAACTCGATGTGACCCCCCCCCCTTCTTCAACTCATGTGACATTACCACACATTAGATATTCCATCATATGAGAACAAAGATCAAGTTCATGATTTTCAGATACCCCATATGACAAACACACACATATAAAGACTATACAACATAATGAGTAACTACTGAAATTTTCAGTTTCGAAATTTAAAGTTGAAGCACATGAAGATTTTTAAATGGACTAGAAAACGATCAAGTGACAGTGTGTTCCAGAAAAACAGTTTTGAACTGGAAACAAATTCATATAGAACTTGGGCTTATGCAAGAAGAAATATTCACTTGACAAGGGAAGTCTTTTATGAACTACTGTATTTCAAGAAAATATATTTTAAGTACATACTTAAATATTAAAGATGATTTTAATGGTTCTTTTCTCACGGAAAACTTCACAGTTTCTTATTTGTACAAGCATTTGATCATATGATCCTAACACATATATAAAAGTCACAATAAGATGATGATGATGAACCTAATGTTCCATCATGAAACTGAGATGGTGATTTATTTTGGTGTTGAACAACTTGTTGTCACAGAGACATGTCTGTTATAAATTAAGTTTACATTTCATATGTAATCTAGGCCAAATTCCAAGGGTATATTTTGTGTTCTTTATTCTAAAATACGTATTATCATTTTCAAATACTGTAGAAGAACTTACTAGTTTCTTTAAACTGTTATGAAATAAAAAATGACTGGCTTGTAACAATGAACTATCCAAGCTCATCTCAGCATTATTAAGTCACCAAATTAAATTAAGTCCTGACATAAAAAAATGTCTGAATGGTAGTTATGTTAACATTTTACTTCATATTGAAATGTGACGATTAGGCAGAAATGTATTTACTCTAATGTTTATAACAATGATTTATTTTATTGGAAATTAGATAAAAACTGAAGAGTTCTATCTTCTTAAATATATCACCATGTATTCCAGTCAAAGTCAACAGACATTGTAGAGGAACATTAGGACTACACAAAGAATAAAGAACTTTATCATGGCCAGCACTATGAGAAAGTTAAATCCAACATTGATTGCCTGGGGGTTTATTGATAACTGACTGAACAGTGACAAAAAGAGGATAATTAGTCAAAGAACTGTCTTCCATATAGAATAATGTGAAAGAATTATGTGTCTTACTTTGCTGGGATTCAACCAGGAGGAGAACTAGTTGCTGACAACATTAATCTAACAACAAGGGTGTGCATAGTATAAAGTGCTATGCATATCATATACTAAATGAGTCAATAATTACAAAAGTAGAACATAAATAGATCATGATTCATAATCATTTGTAAATGATAGGACTCTGGTATACAGATAATAATGCTATATATATATATAAAACACACATAAAACTGGCCACAGTATTTCAGTGTTGTCTTGAAATCTTCATTGCAAACACAGGAATAGGGAAATAATGAGGGAAACATAGTGCAAAGTGAGTGATAAGCGTGGATCATCCGGTTCATATAAGAGTCATCATGTTCTACTAACAGTTTAAAAATCCACTGCTAATAAATAATAAAATGTACATGTATTGATGCTTCATAACGAAAATACCACAAAATTTATTGACTCGGTAATGATAACTGAACAAATATACTGCCATTCAACTTTCTTCTTTCACATTATTTTCATATAATACAAGTAAATTAGCTTTTGAGATACAGCATTAAAAATAAATAAAGACTTAAAAATATTAAAATTAAAAAATAATAGTATATATTCAGAATGTACAAGACACAAACAACATGCTACCACACAATAATGTTTGTAACTTCAATAATGCAAGATCTTGAATTTTCTTTCAGTATTCAGTGTTATCACATTTCCCAGCCTTAAGAATGTTTTATGTGAAGAGGAAGCACCACATGACATTCTTTTACGAAACATTTTCATCTTAATTTTAATCATCGAAGTGATCCCAGTGAACATTAATTTCCAGAAATGAGGCAGGAAAAAACATTTTTTCCAACAGGATATTTTGCAGATTTTTCACTGATTCATGTCAGTTTTAGCAAGGAATGACAGAATAAAATAGACCACACAAAAACTGACAGTGATACTCAATCCAAGAATCTTTTGAATGTAGTGATATGCACTGCAATGGAAGAGAGATTGCCCCATGACATGATAATAAAATGCTCACTGAAGAATCCAATATGTGGCAGTGATCCATAGTTTCCAGTCCTGATATGCGGGATGGAGGATGTTCAGAAAAAAGACTGAATTGGCATGCATTTCCTCAAGTTTTAAGTGTTCTACTAGCTTTTGTACTAAATACTCTATTCTTAAATTTCAAAATAATTGCATGTAAGGCTAATTATGAAAAAATAGGTTTACAAGTATACATGTTTGGAGAAGAAATCTGTTACCTGTTTGGATGAACTAAGGGAAAGAGTGCCACGCATGGCTCTCACCATGAAACGTTCATCAATTCCTACCAACTCTCCAACCCTTCGCATGGCTGGTGACAGTTGTTCCCATTGATTTAATACCTGCAAGCAGGAATAATAGCAAGGTACAGTAGGTTTGGTGGCACATGAGTTATGGCTTCGATATTTTCAGTAGCTCTGCTGCCAGAACAAATGTTGGAGGTAAGCAGAGCTCAGTTTCTCAAGTGCTGTAAGTCAGTTAATATGTGTTGAGTTCCATTTCAATAAGATTGGCCAATTTATAATTGTGCCTGTCTTTTTGTGCATCTCAGAGCTCGCGTCCTGCCGAAGAATTTGTACCTTATTAATATTGTTACATGTACAAGTGACTATAGACAGGGTTTCAATTGGTAGTTGGATTTACTGAACACTTACAGATCATAACTACAAGTAACTATAGCACTATCACTAATGTATATACTCTACAATTCAATATACCATGCACTAAGTCTTCTAAGTCTGCTGTATCTTCACTGGTTTCATCCTGGTAGTGGCTTACTATGATGGGGATTCCCCCACCTCTGTTTTCACATCCTTACTGGCTGGTGACTGTCTCAAAACTAATTAAACTCTAGACTTGTTCTGCTTACAACACCTTGGAATGGACTGCACAGAAAACATCTCTCCCAACAGTTCTTCTATTGTTACGTCACACAGCTGTCGCGCAGACCACGTAGAGAACATCGCTTCCTGCAGCTCTCCTATTATCACATGACATCACCGTGGATGTGATGTATTCCCCTGTTGTGTGCACAATCATTGTTAAGCTGATAAGGTGTTTACTGTGCCATAACCTAGTAACAGCTCTCTACATGCTACAATATAATTAGGAATAAGTGTTCATTTACTCAGTGAAAGTTACACACATATAACTGTGAGTTTTTAGATATGAGTAATTGAACAGTGATACAGTTATTACAACAGTTGCATTTTTAGTGCTTTAATCTATTCTTTGCAGCATTCCACATGGCACATCTCATTTTATGGTAATGTTGCAAGCCCATGTTCATAAGCACAAAAGGCATCTGAAGGGCTTGATGGCAAACCTTCACTGTTGGAAAAAAGAAGTTTCATGATGCCAGGTTTACACTGTAGGCTTGGGTGGGTAGCTTCATAGGAGTATTCTACAGTATGGTGACTGTGGTGTTTGCTGTGTGTGTGGAGCACTCCTTTTGGCATATTTCTTGAAGCTTCTCACTTAGATCACACAAATTGATGCAGTCCACTGTGCAGCAACAGTGCACTGAATTTGAAGTGTAAGGACAGCCATGTCAACTATTAACCAATATCATCGTCCACGATATTGTAACGTGTTTTGCGTTACTGATCCCACTTCTGACACCAGTGTAACGTGTTTCGTTACTGAAGACGCCGTAGAGATGGTTAATTGGTTTATTTAACAATCTACAAGTAACGGCTACAATTACTTATCTCACAGTTGCGGGGTTTCACACTTTATAACCCTAATCGCATTAATCTGTTAACACTGTTGCGGGGTTTCACGATTTATAACCCTATGCGCAAANATGTATTGACCGTCTTCTAGTGCACACAATCTCACATGTCACTTCACTATATGTTTCGGCATCACTGTGCCATCCTCAGGTGTGTTATTTACATTAAACTATTGCACTGCTCGCCATCATGTGTCGTTTATAAAATGATTTAAAATGTATGTTCTTCATGTACTATAATAAAATTTATATATATTAAAATTTGTGAAGATTTATCATCTTATACGTCTTATTTCAAACTCGCGTATTATATTATTCTTCCACTATGGGAGTCGTTCTTCCTGTATTTTGTGTATACTGTGTCTTGTTATGTGTCCTTCTTCTTTGGCTGTGTGTGTTGTTACAACTGGACAATGAAGGTCAAAGATAGATCCAGAATTACTGCTACTGGGATTAAATTCATGTAATGTACTGCAAATATACATGAAAAGGTTATAATAGGAAGAAATGCTGCTTAATCTAAGACTTTAACTGGCATTAATCAAATTTTTGACTACAGAAACAAATTATTATACAACACTGATAGAATTCAGAATGGCAGACTTCCAAAATTAATAATAAATTGCAGACCAAAAGGACAAGCAGTGAGAGAATGTTCTTATGCTAGAAGGGCTCAACAATCCACCTAGTGACTTGGAAGTTTCATGACGATGATGATGATGAAGATGTGATGGCACTATATAATGCTTCTACATCAGCCTTGATTTGGAAGGGGAAATAAATGGAACAGCTCTCTGTGTTACATCACATTACTTATTTGTCTATTGGTTTATCTATTTAATTTCTAACCTACTTTTATCATGCAAGAAAATAATATGACTCACATGTAGCCAGTCCAAATTTCCCCACTGAGAGCAAACACTGTATGGTGTTACCTGGAACAATACATTGAAAAAGATTTTAAATTGCATTCATATTTATGGGCTACATAAGATACAATACTTGGTATCAGATTATTATCACAAAAGAAGGGGACTGTTTCTGATTCTATCATTTTCATTCTTATACCACTACTTCCCCAAATGTATCCCTTGTTACCAAAACATAGCATATCCTCTTATCATCATATGAGGTGGTTGATTTTTTAAGATACAAAACATACTGGTAAAATTGAAAGGTCCTCTGTGTGGCATTACTGTTCTGAATGTGCATGCCTCAATTGAAAATGAAAGTGCTTACATAAAAGCTACTGTCACATGATCAAGCAAATATAGACAGTGTTTGGATTGATAATTGGATTTAAAGAACTCTTACAACTTGTAACTGCAAGTAAGGATTATGCTGTCGCAGTTCCACACACTTTGCAAATCACTATAGGACACATTATATCTTCTCAGCCTTCTTAAACCATTGCTTGGTAGCAGTTTGCAATGGTGGACATTCCCCTTCCTCTGGGTTCCTGAATGGCCCCCAGCCTCAGTTACCAGCTCCTCACAGCATCTGCTCACAACTGAACCCCAGTGGTTATCAAACTAACTCTCTCCAGCTACTAACTTGTCCTGCTCATAACATCTAGGTGTGGACCGCACAAAAAACACTGTTCCTCTATTGCTGTGCCATTGTGTTCATGTCTTCCAATGTGATTACTACTCAGCCATTGCCTAGCAACGGCTGTTGTTTGTAGAGCCATCATTTAGCAGTAGCTGTTGTATAGTTGCTTATTTCGCGGTCATAACCTAGCAATGTGGCCCTGTGGACGGTTCTCATGGTGATTACTCTCCAACTGCTCCTGCTGGTCCCTTAGCCGTTCCAGGTGAGCCATCATCTTCTTTTCCGAGGGCTGTGATTTGAACGTCTCTTCTTTTGTTTTGGAGGGGGCTGACCCCTCCACAATCTCCAGTCACTCACTTCCTGTGGCCCAGTAGAAGACCCAACTATTCACTTTTCAATCTCCAGTTCTAGTCTCCAAGAAGATCCTACCAGATGTCCTCTCCTTTCTCAGATGTGGCTGCCATCTTGCGCTTTGGTCCTTTATTCCACTGTTGAATTCTGGGCCTTCCATCATTTCTTCTCTACTGTCAGTCCTTTATGACAGTAACCTTGGCACAGTGGGTCATCTGTCTGCAGGCAGCAGCCAACTTCCTCTGGGACCCACCATCGCCCTGGGTCTGTTTCTTTCACTGTCAGTGCGCTTTATAGCTAGATACTGGTCCCCATATCGGTCCTCCAATTCTCCAATAGTTTCCACCGCAACCTCTTCCTCAGGGACTTCCTGATACACCAACTTGGACTCTTATTTCTATTGGAATTGCCTCCAAATCCGTGGCCTCTCAGTGGGCCTTCATCTCTTTTCACCAAGGCCCCATTTCTACTATGATCCCCTTTACATTGGTGTCTGACCTCTCTTGGTTGTAGTTAATCTGAGAAGCGACAGAATCCATTTGGATTTTCATGTCAGCCTTTGTTTGCCTTAGATTGGCTTCCATCTTTCATCTGTTAGTTCTTATTTCAGCCAGCAGGTGTGCAATAATTTGTTCCATCTCCATATTACAGTGATATGATGATCAGTGTGGTCTTCAGTCCAATAATTCAATCCATCTCTTGGGTTCAAATCTGACAGTACACAGTTCATGAAGGCCAACATCTCAAACCAATCGGTCAATCATTCCAATCCCACTTCTGACACCAGTTATCCCATGTATGGAGTGTGACTATAGACAGATTTTGGATAGATGATTGGATTTATTGGACTCTTTGATAGAGTGTGTGACTACGCTTTACAGTTTACTGTTTTACACACACACACACACACACACACACACACACACTAGTGTCTACAGTCACATCTTCAATGCTGTTGCTTGGTAGCGATTTACAACAGCAGATGTTCCCCTTCCTCTGGGTTCCTGAACTGTCACCCGGCCTCAGCTACCAGCTTCTCATGGCAACAGCTTGCAACAGCAGTTATCTAACTCACTCCTAACTTGTCCTGCCTGTAACATCTTGGCATGGACCACAGAGAAAACACTGTTCCTCTTTTGTTACTTATGGGCTGCTGCCTCATAATGGCCATTGTATAGCTGTTTATTTTGCAGTTGTGGCCTAGCAACAGGTCTACATGCCGTAGTATCTATTATGAGGAATTTCAGTGTATATTTGACCAATTCCATAAGTGTCACATTAAAATTTTTTATTAGATTTCAGTACATAAATACAGAGGGAGGGTGTTTTCAAACTGATAATGGGGGAAAACAGAGTCTGCATTAAATTAGTGTTGACAGTAGGATTGGCCACTTAAGAATATATAAAAATACACTTGCACTTCTCTATGGGGTGACACATAACCAGCTGATTACATTTTAATAGATACAAAATGATACTCAAGTATAATTACCATTTGATTTTTTTACAGGTGCCAACTGGGACAGTAAAATGATTCAGTGACTGAAAACAGTGAAAGTGGGCAGGATGTGTAATATGCACGCCAGTGATAAGAAATACATACAAAATAACGACAGGAAATCCTGAAGGGAAAACACCACTGCAAAGGTCTATCAGGTGAGAAAATAATATTAAAACAGTTCTTAAAGAAACAGAGTAGGAGGATGTGGACTATATTCATCTGGCTCAGGACATGAACCAATGATATGGGCTTATGAATATGGCAATAAACCTTCAAGTTCAATAAAAGAGTAGCTTGAGTAGCTGAGCAAAATATTAACTTCTCAAGGACTCTGTTCCATGGAATCTTCAAAACCTATCAGAAGCTACTTTAATTTTACTTAAATATTCTGATTAAATGAAATTAAATGTCCAAAGATCTTTTTTTTATTTGTTTAATCAGCAATCAGACTATACATTCTATAAGCTAATGTTATGGTTGTTTAGATGACTTGATGAGGAGTCGTCCAGTGGCGAATCCTCAGTAATTCAAATCAGGTCAATTGGCCAGTTTCATCTGAGTCGTCTGTTGTCTTCTCTTTTCGACAGCATCTTTAGGAGTGGGTTTTTATGATTTATGATTTTGTTGTGATGTCTGTTGCTTTTTTGTTGGACGTCTTGTACAGAAGATATACTGAGATCGGCGTGGAGTGTTGCGTTGGAGACATACCATGGTGCGTCGACTATCATTTGTAGGATCTTAGATTGGCTTGTTTGGATTATTGCTATATTAGATTTACTGGTGCAGCCCCATAATTCCAGGCCGTACATCCAAATAGGTATGATTATAGTCTTATAGATCAGAATTTTATTTTCAACTGTTAGCTTTGATTTTTTGCCTATTAGTCAGTTTAATTGTTTAATGGTTAAGTCTACTTGCTTTCATTTCTTGACTACATGCTGCTTTCATGTTAATTTGCTGTCTATAGTCATACCTAGGTATTTTATTTCTGCTTTATGTGGTATTTGGATATCAATGATACATCATTGATATCCAAATACCACAGGTGTCAGGTGTTGCCTTTTTTCATAGGGTGAAATTTATGTAGCAAGTCTTGTTTTCATTTATTCTGATATGCCACTTCTCGAACCAATTTTGTAATGTGCTAAGGTGATGTTGAAGGTCTGTTGCTGCTCTTTCTGGATCTTTGTTGACTGACAATATTGCTATATCATTGGCAAATGTTCCAAGAGTTCTATTTGAGGAAGTGGGTAGGTCAGATGTAAATAAAGTGTATAAAGTTGAACCAAGGACACTACCCTGTGGCATGCCTGCTTTTATTGGTTGTGGTTCAGATTTTTCGTTTCCCACTCTTATTTGGAACTGTAGGTCACTTAAGTAGGGTTTAAGAAGATTAAAATATGATGGTCGAAGGATTTGTTTGATCTTGTATAACCGACCACTATGCCACACCCTATCAAAGGCCTGGCTTATGTCTAAGAACACTCCTGTACAGTAGCTTCTGTCGTCTAAGGCTTTGTTGATGATATTTGTTATTCAATGAATCTGCTGTATGGTAGAGTGGTCTTGACGAAATCCAAATTGGTGGTGTGGAATCCACTCTTCTTGCCTCAAGTCTTTGTTTATTCTTCTAAGAATAAGTTTTTCAAAAACTTTGGACAACACTGATATGATGCTGATTGGGCGGTATGAAGTGATTTCTGCTAGATCCTTTCCTGGTTTAGCTATCGTGATTATTTCTGAGATTTTAAACTGTTTAGACCAGTAGGACATTCTTATTATTCAATTAAAGATGTAGGTTAATAGTACTATTCCTTTTTTTTGGGAGTTCCTTTAGCATTTATGGTGTGACTTGGTCTAGTCTGGGTGTTTTTTTTAAACCCAAAGATCTGATCACCTCTTTGAATTCCTTTGGGGCGGTAATCATTAGAGTTTGTTGTAGTTCTATGAGAGCTGCTAAGTTTTGTTCTATTTCTCGATCTCTTTCCTCATTATGCAGAGTAAATATATTGGCAAAATGTTTTGCAAAGAGTTTGGCTTTCTCTTTATTACTTCTTGCCCAGGGTCCTGCAGTTGGTGGTGAGGATTCTTTAGGTTTTTATGTTTTCAATAGGCTTCCATATAGAGTAATCATGCCTGCTGATGTTTTGTATGTAATCCGTAAAGGATGCTTCTCTCAGTTCTTTTAGTTTGGCTTTTAGCTTATTTGTTAACTGGTTGTATCTGGTTTTATCGGTTGGGTTGTGGGTTTGGTGCCATATCGCTCTTGCCTTTCTTTTATCCTTTAGAAGTTGTTTGATTTCTAAAGGAGTACTGTTGATACTTCTTTGTGTTTCCAATGGCAGTGTGGATTGAATAGCGGCTTGTTGCATGACTTGTTTCAATTACAAAATCTAGGTCTTTGGAATTCTTCAGCGTTATTTTTAGATGTATTTTGTTGTTAATTTCTTCTCTATAATTTTCCCATTTGGTTTTATGGTTATGTAATCTTGGAGTGTTATGTCTGATTATCACTGAAGAACTTATGGTCGTTATAATGGGAGTATGATCTGGTGAAAGTTCAAAATTAGGAACTATGTCTGTATATGCTGATGAAATTCCTTTTGTTACAAAAAAGTCTAGCAGGTCTGGTATTTTTGCAGGGTCAGTTGGCCAGTACATCGGTGTTCCACTTGAAATAAATGAATAATTATTATCCTGCATAAGTTTTGCAAGTTCCTTTCCTTTCGTGGACGTTAGTCTTGAGCCCCATAAGACGTTTTTGCTGTTATAGTCTCCTCCAGCTAAGAATCTCTGACCTAATGTGCTAAAGAATTGCTCAAAGTGTTCTTTTATGTTGTGCCTAGGGGGGCAATTCACCGCTGATATATTTAGTTCATAGGGTAATGTTCTGACTTTTATAGAAGTGGCTTGTAAATGATTCTCCTTGTATTTTTGGAGTTGGTAATGGTGGATTGTTTGTTTTATGAGAATAGCAGTGCCTCTGTGTGCAGTACCATCTGGATGATCAGTATGATACACTCTGAACTTTGGAATTTTGATATAGCTTTCTGCTGTAAAGTGTGTTTTGCTAATGAGTAGAATGTCTATGTGTTGTTCTTTAAGGAACAGAATCACTTCGTCTTTATGTCCAATAAGACCATTCGCATTCCAGAGCGCTATTCTCAAATACTTAGTTATTACTTCAGTTTGTTTATTAACGTGGTTAGCATGTTAAGTACTAAGCTATTTTGCTGTATAAGATCCAAAGATCTGTAATGAATATAATACCTCGTATATTATGTGAAGCTCAGTATCAAGCACAAAGCATTGACGAGCCCTTTGTAGCTCATCAAAAAGAAGAAGGCCTTCATCTGGAGGGAGAGATGCAGCAAGGCAGCCAAGACCTAAAAGTGTTGGCACATACTTATGCCCTGCATCCTCTTCATCTTCCTGAAGACGAATAAGTTCATTTGCCTCTAGGAACTGAACACAGGCTGATATGGGGTTTTGGAGATTGGATTTTGTTGCAGCAAGTAACGTGCAGTTTGTGTACTGAGTCACTTGCTCAGGAGTGCATGCCACACCACTTGCAATCACCTGAAACACATCAAGCAGCAAAAGACTGGGTAGGATGCCTATCAGATCCTTGCAGTATTATAAAACAACTGTCTGTAATGTGGTGCAGTGGAAGTAAACTGGCTACTTCATTTCTTTTGTACACATACAAAGAGTCATAAAAAAATAGTAAGGCAGCGACCTAAACATAAATCCTTCCTGTGAGATCTGATGTTACTGTGGCGTTAATTATGAAGAATATTGTCTTCTGGGACGTGATGCCGTGTTGTCTGGTAGAAGTTTACCAACATTTTGGGGGGGAAACACTACCTCATTTTCAGCATCAAAGGTTAAGCTAGGCCAGCAGACTTTGCTTCAAAACAAGAGCAATGCTTATGTGAGGACAGCAAAATGGAGGAAGTTTTGTCAGAGGTTGGCCCACCCTGGTGGAAAAATCAATGATGATGACTATCATGAATATGTGCTGTCATATATACATCATTGCTGTTTTATAATTTCCATGTACCAATGATTTTGATTCCTATTATCTGCTAGAGCTGATGATTTAATATATGGTTCATCATAGTAGCCATGCCTTGTCCTAAACGTTGATTAAAATACTTCAAATATGGAATACAAGAACAGTGACAAAAATAACTTAAATGAATCATCTTATAATACTAACCTCTAATATGGCTCTCTTTAAGCTGGCTGCCAATTCACCATGCCCAAGGCAACTCTCAATAGGTTTCAAATCTGCTCCAATCAGCTTCTCTCCAATGTGTCCCTCTGCTTTGTTACAAATAAGAAAACTCTCGCCTGCAGTATCTCGCCCCATACGCCCTGCACGACCAATCATTTGCCTGTATGTTTGAGAATCCAGTGATTTTCCATGGAATACAGGTGAACGTACAATGACACGGCGAGCAGGAAGGTTCACACCTGAACTCAAAGTTGAAGTAGCTACCAATACTCTCACAGCTCCTGAACGAAAATAACCTTCCAGAATGTCACGCTCTTCAACTGTCAAACCTGTGAGAGCATTAAGATATGGTCACTTTCACACATACTTTGAAAATTAATGAGTAAATAAAATAAACGACTCTAAATATCAGCAGCAATAAACCAAGACTTTCTCCACTTCCCCCTCCACCCTTTCCACAAGAACATCATCTCCTTTATGTTTAAGAGGTTAAGAGTTCAAATCTCAGGCCTAAGACTGGCTATAAAGACCCCTCCATGTACATGTTGCCAATAGTGACTTAAAATAGGCCATGACTTCTTTCAGATTCATCATTCATAACCATGTCATTCAGCACTACAAAACTACCAGCAAGTTGTCAAGTGACAACTAGCATTGATTTGATTTGATTACACTGTCCAATGTGACTCAAAAGTATATATGATGCCTTTACATGTTTTGGTCAATTAATGACCATCTTCAGAAGGCAAATAACATTTGAGGAAACTACTATTACATAAATCATAGTACATCAAGTTCAAAGTTGTCCAAAGTTTTTACATATAAAGATTTTAAGTTAAGCTAAAATGTGGTGAGTTAAAATATTAATAGAATTCTTAATATTTAAAATCTTAAATCACTAGATTTCATGTCTTCATGCCCCTTCTATCAGCAGGAGACGGGGTAGATTTCCACCCTTGGAGGTCTGGGCAGTTTTTTTTTTCTTTATATAGTTGGTTAAGAGTCTGTGTTTTTTGTTGTGAGCTATTTTTCTATAGTATTGACTAGTGTGATGGACCAGAATGAATAAACTTGTTGAAATAACTAGTGTGATTGACATTCTGTGTTTCCAAACAGTGCATTTTCATTTCAAAAAACTATTTAGTTTACATATCAGGCAAATTTTCTATTCACGAAGTCATGTTAATCATTTTTTATACATACATAGAAAGGACCAGATTCATGGCAACCAATGATGAAGATTTAGAATATATCCTATAACTCAGTCTTTATCAATAAAATCCCACCCCTTCATAAATACAACTGGTGAACAAAGAGGACTGTACATCAATCTTCAGTGACTTCCTGTGTTTATAAAGCATGAAGCAAGTTGTAGGGTGGTAGGGTGTTGATTCTGTTTCTCCTTAAAAGACTGTGGAAGACTTAAATCGTAACTTGAACATGAGTGGTCAAAGAGCCCCCACTACCCATTGGGTAGGAGGTTGGGCGGGCCCCAGAACTGGTGTGGACGACATGGGGAAGAGAAAATTCTTGCCCCTATTAGCCCTCAAACTCCAAACCCTCAGCTGTCCAGCCTGTAGCCAGTCACTATATCAACTGCGCTATCCTGGCTCTTGAATGTGAAATATCTTCAGGCAAACACTGGCATTAGTAATTCACAACATGGCAAGACCACTTCCTCTCATAAATTACCCGATTCATCATTGCCTGTGCATCCAACAAGTCACTTTACTTGCACTTTGATTAAGTATATTTTTATCACTTTTATTAAGTTTTCTGTTTTTTCTGTGATAAGTCTAATTTCAGGCAATGATATGATAGCACAACTTTTGATGTAAAATGCTGTTTTCTGACCACATGAGCAGCATATTCTCAGCAAAGTTTTTCCTGAGATTCACAGGAACCATGTCTTTGGCTTTAATGTCACTATAAGCAATACCGTCAAGGGCAAAGCTTTAGGGTCAAAGACTCATTATAAAGTCTCTTCAGTTACACATCAAAAACAGATTATAAGAAGGCTCTCAGTAAAATTGTATTTTACTCTCTAAGACCACCAACACCACTATTTGGTATCTAATGTGTTTATTTTAAAAGCCCCACCACATGTTTTTACCTTTCTTCTTGGAGCTATTTTTATAGCTGGTACTATTGTTTTATTGTTTTGTTGTGAGGTGTCTTTTCTTGATGTTGTATATTGCAGTGGTGCTACAGAACTGAACCCAATACAAAAATTAAAGAAAAATTGTTAAGAGCCTAAGTTACATATGTGTGAGCATAGAGAAACCAATGGGATTTGCTTTGACTTTCAATGTGGAAACACATGTTCTAAAGGATATCATATTTGAAACATGTGGATTCATGATGCAGTACAACCTTGGTGCTACAGTACTTACCTCATGTGCATTAAGTTATGGGTTATTCTAAATTTCCTACATGCAAATTTTTTACATTATGTGTGTAAGAAATAGTTATGAAACAGCCATTATACCTAACTACTTAACTGTAAATCTAGTGTTAAAACAGTGGTTCACAAACTGTATATGAACACATAACTGTTTAATTTTCTAGCACAATAAAATTAAGTTTAAATAACATTAAGTTACTAGAATCATAACAAAACCATCTCTTTATAATGCACATGGGTAGGATCTGTACCACCTATAGACCCCAGTGGTAACACAGGTCTCATCTCATTATTTTCAGCACAGTTGTAAAACAAGATCACAGAACAAATTTCACCAATATGTACTTAAAAAAAAGAATGTTAAGGTTCATCTTCACGTGACATTTGAAGTCACGAACTTAATCAAGATGTCATGATACAAATGTTGTGACTTGAGACTTTATGTCACGAGTCTTTAGTTTGCTCAGGCTTAGAGTATGCCATGTTTTATCTACTTTAGTATCATAAATGATGCTGAAGAAATTAATCCATCTTGCCTTTCTACTTCACACAAACGTACTATTTCGAGCTTCATATTCAAGCCTACACTCTTCTATTTCACTGCCATATTAGAGTTCTTCAAAATTCTGAAGTTGGTGCCCAACGAAAAACAGTAGATATTTGACAGGGGACAGAACCTTAAACATCAGCATGTGACATCATTGTCTGAGGTCAGTGGAAGCTTAGAGAAACAGGGGACCTATGTGACAAAAAGGGGAGGATACTGTATAGTGCCTCTACAAACAAGCAAGCAATACAGTGCACAACAGAACAAGCTAGTGGACTGATAATAAAATTCAGAGAGAAATCATGTAATGTATAATTCTCATTGGGAGGGGGTAAGCTGCTCTCAGATTACTGAATGTAAACTTTCTCCAAAGGAAGGGCAGGACAGAGAGGGTTGATTAATGAGACCTTTACAGACTGCTTACTTACTTACTCATGGAGCTGAGCCCTTCTTGAGGAGCCGCCAATTCTGCAGCTACTCAAGAATTTCCCAGCATTTTATGGAACCTGAAGGTTCATTACCGTGTTCACAAGAGCCCTCCACTGGTCCCTATCCAATCCATACCATCCCATCCTATCTCTCTAAAATCCATTCTAATATGGTCCACCCACCTACGCCTTGGTCATCCCTGTGGTCTCTTTCCTTCCGGTTTTCCCACCAATATCCTATATGCATTCCTCGTCTCCTCCATTCGTGCTACATGACCTGCCCACCTCATCCTCCTTGACTTGATCATTCTAATTATACTTGGAGAAAAGTACAAGTTATGAAGCTCCTCATTATGCAATTTTCTCCAACTTCCTGTCACTTCATCTCTCTTCGGTCCAAATATTCTCATCAACACCCTGTTCTCAAACATCCTCAGTCCATGTTCCTCCNGTTTTGTATATTATAATTTTTATGTTTTTAGACAGATGAGAAAACAAAAGGTTGTGGACTGAATGGTAGCAAGCATTACCCGAGTTCAATCTCCTCTTAATTTCCTCCTGAATCAGGTTTTGTTCTGTTATCGTTGTTCCCAAATATCTGAACATTTTCAAAACATGTGTTTCNTTGCCCTGCATTTTGGTGACGAGACAGGAACATATGCTTAGTTTTCTCTGTGTTTACTTCTAGACCAACCTCTTTACTTCTTACAGACTGCTAGCCATACATAAAAAAATGCAGAATGGCAGTGGTGACTAGATACAGATCACTCATTATGACACAGGAGAAGTGAAAAAAATTCTCATTTTAGGTGATGATTTTAGTTCCTTTTGTCACTATAATGAAGTCCTCATCACAAGTCATACTTGCTCTACTTTGGTTTCACTGTACCTGGCTCTGAGATAAGCACCAAAGCATATTACCTCTTTATTCTTTCAATTCACATTGCTGGTTAACATTCAAGTGCAGAAAAGAACGGCCGACATGTGACAAAGTGACTGCAGCAGGTTGGTGATAGTGGTGGTGGTTGTAGTAGTAGCAGCAGTTACAGCAACAATACTTTCTACAATACTGGTCATGTTATGAAATAATGTATATGCAACATAATCAAGTAAGTTATATTTCATGTGAAATTTTATTTGAATTATTGAACATAATAATAATAATAATAATAATAATAATAATAATAATAATAATAATGACAATTAATAATAAATCAATAAATGAATATAAATATTACTACCAACATAGTACACTCTGTCCATTTCCAGTCCCAGAAGACCCTTAGATACATGTGTCCTCTCATGTGAATCCAGAGAACACTTTGATAAGTGATAACCTAAGTTAAGTGATCCTAATTATCTGAACTGATGGTGACAGTTAATGTTTGGTGAAAGATGGTGGTAATAACAATAACTTACAATCACTTATCATATATCATTTCACACTACATAAATTCAACACCTGAAAGAGTGCTGTAAAATAACTGATTAAACAAAATAATCTGTTCATTTAGTTTAAAATATTTTACGCTTCATAGTAAAGGAAAACTCATGTGACAACGTTAAGTTCCATGCTGCTAACATATTCATTAACAATCCCATCACTTGTTGGGTTGAAATTTACTGAATAACAGTGGTGATCTCATCAAGTGAGAGACTGTTGCCCAGTGTATGTGCTTGTAAATGCCATTTTCTCTTACAGATGTCATTCAAATGCAGAGAAACATTATGTGTAGCTCGCTGAAGTTTGTAAGGGTCAAAATATTCAGTGACTGTACACAATTTTTCACTTGCTGGCTCTTGTTCAGATTTCAAGTGTGGTTAATTTCACAATCTAGTTTTCATAAAAAAAAATGGCTGGCCTGTCAGGTAAAATCCTGGTGCATGACAGTAAATGTGTTAACTTGTGAGCAGCTAGCTACTATGGTGTCCACCAGATTAGCCATGCTCCAGTAATACTTGCTTGTATTATTGAACTCAAAGTTCTGATTTCTGCACCACCATTCAATGTTTTCAAAAGGTCCTGCCAGCTTGGTCTTGAGCCTGTGAACCCTCAGGTTACATGGAGTGACAGTGAGGCTTTATTCTGCCATAGAATATACCCTTTCTTTCATCCAAAGCACCAGCAATAGAACTCGTATATTGTTTATGACTTTTTTAGATAGTTATAAATCTATGGCTCTACAGCCCCTGTGGACCTTTGCCACTTTTTCAGTTTTTTAATCTATACACAGTTGGTAGGACTCCTTGGACTGGGGATCAGCCTGTCGAAAGGCCACTACCTACACATAGAACAAAACAAACAGAGAATAAACGCACACAGACATCCATGCCTCAGATGGGATCCCAGTGTTTGAGCAGGTGAAGACAGTTCATGTCTTAGACCGTGCAACCATTGTGAACAGTAGTCATAATTATACCCCTAATTAACTTACTCCCTGGGGATGAGTCCTTCTTGAGAAGGCACCAGTTACTCAGTTACTCAAGAATGTCCCAACGTTTTATGGAATCCGAAGATTCATTACCATGTTCATAAGAGCCCAACACTGCTCCTTATCCTGAACCAGATCAATCCAGTCTACACTACCCCATCCTATTCTCTGAGATTCATTTTAATATTGTAGCATGTAGACCCATTGCTAAGTAATGATTCTGTAAACAATGGCTGTTAGGTAATGGCCAATAATAACACAGAAATGGTGTTCTCTACATGGTCCAAGCAATAGCCACATGATGCAACAATAGAAGAACTGTTGGGAGAGGTATTTTCAATGCGGTCTGTGCCGAGGTATTATAAGCAGGACAAATCTAAATTATAGTCAGTTGTGAGACAGTCATCGGCCAGTAAGGACATGCACACTGAAGCTGAGGAAGCTATGCCATTGGCAGCCATTACCAGGAAACAACAGGTGAAGACACACAGACTGAGAAGGCTTAGTGCATGATGTAATGAATTGCAGTGTGTGAATTAGTGATAGCGCTATAGTTACTTGTAGTTACAGCGGCCTCCGTAGTCTAGAGGTAATGTTCCCACCTCATGACTCGTGGTACGTGGGTTCAAATACCCGGCTGAGGTCGTCAAATTTTTAAGGGCGGAAAAATTCAGGGAACAAGTCCTCCGGGAGGGACTTTAAGCTGTGTGTCCCGTGTCGTAACTTTACGGCATATAAAAGAACCTCATATCCCCAAAGGGGATCACTGAGCCGAATTCCAGGACGTTTCCCGCCCAACAATAGTCTCTAAGGCCTCTGATAGATGGAGGAAGCATTATAGATACCGCTAAGCAAGTGGCCGAACTCGCTTGCTCGGCGGGACTGATGGTACGCACCATTTATCGGTAGGGTTTAGAGTCTGGTAGAATATCATAGAGGGAAGCACAATAGATCAAACTGGTCGCGGTGCATGGGGAAACCCACCCTCTCTAAATAACTAACTAACTAACTAACTACTTGTAGTTACTAACTGTAAGTGTTCAATAAATGTAATTACTAATACATACCCCATCTATAGTCACAAAGACAAGTGACAATATTATCCTCCTATGTCTATGACTTCCCAGTGGTCTCTTTCCTTCTGGCTTTTCCACCAAAAACCTGTATGGATTCCTCTTCTCCCCGTGTGTGCTACAGGTCCTGCCCATCAAATTCTTCTTGACTTGATCACTCTAATTATATTTGGCAAATTGTACAAGTTATTAAGCTCCTTGTTATGTAGTTTTCTCCAACCCACTATTATTACATCCCTCTTCAGACCAAATATTATCCTCGGCACCCTCTTCTCAAATGCCCTCAGACTATGTTCTTTCCTTAATGTCAGTTAGCAAATATAGGTTATTTAGAGTCTCTCTTAAGAACAACTTCAATGAAATGTATTGAGTATTGTGTCAAACTGTGTATATTCATAAAATGTTTTTTATCATTAACAGCCATTTCAATGAAGTTACAGTTAATTCAAACATAGCCAATAAATTACTTATCCTACATGAAACTGATAACAATATTCTATTTACCAATAGATGCATCACCAGCATGCATAAAACCTAATCCAGTCTTATTAATAATATATATTACACCAATTAAAACTTATCATTTATAATGGAATCTATTGCAGGAACAAGAAAAGGATGTGAATACGGAAAGAAACAAAACTTTCAAGCTATTATGTCTCATAATATATGTAAACCAATTTATAAGACACTTTCCAAGGTCTACATCGTATGACTATGAATCATGGAGGATTAACCAAAACCTTACTATCAATGGATGCAGAACTTATGTGATGGACAGCCCCTTAAGCCATAAAATAACAGAGTAAAAATGTAATAGCATGTTTTATTTAACTATACAGAAAAACTAGGAAAAGAACAAGTTTTAATAGGGTAAAAAGCATTGGTATCTAAGAAGAGGAAGAAAGCTCTTAAGAAGATCTATAACTTTATTTTCTCAAAGAAGGGCTAGGACCTAGAAAATAGTTAGCAGATTTGCTGACTGATAAGCCATTACCTGCATGATGAAATGCCACTCCAAATGCCACAGTGCACCGAAGCACTTTATCCAGCCCAACTGGACATCTCTGTAACTGTTCCAAAGCCTCAGCTATAGCATTTGAGTCCAACTGCTCACGAAGCTGCTGGCCTAATTCACTCCCTGATAAACCTGATATCATAACATAAAATTAGAATCTAATGAAACCACTCTGAGGGATAGAACATGCTGAACTTCACTTTAAGGTTAATTCTGTACAGAGGGAACTTAAACTTGTTTGCCAAAGAACCCGATGTACCATGTAAACATACATCAATAAATAACTGCTAATGCAAAGGGAAATGGACATGATATTTGGCACATGGAAGGTAAGGAATTTCTGTAGGGTAGGATCACTGACAAAAGTTGCAAGAGAATTAGCAAAGTATAAGTTAGATTTACTGGGAGTACAGGGGTGGCACTAAATCAGTAGGCGATTATGTATTTTTCTATAGAAAAGGCAATGAGAATCATGAATTAGGGACAGGATTTTTTGTACATAAAAGAATAATATCAGCAGTTACAAGGGTAAGTTTGTTAGTGATAGGCTGCCATACATAATATTAAGGCTGGGGCCACACGAGCACACAAAATGTGTCCGTTGTAGAAATAAACAAGAGAGGTGAATGCTATGCTTTCTTCTGGCACCACTGCAGACAATAAACTATGCACCACATTCTGCAACTGTGTGGTGTCCTCAGCAACCTCCGTTGCAACGGATGTACTTCGTGTGCTCGTGTGGCCCCATCCTAAGAGGTTGCTGGTGAGATATCACTGTCATGTGTTCGAATGAAGGTAGATGGGATTTGGATTGATAACTGGATTTATTGCACAATTCTACAGCTCATGACTACACTTCACAGATAACTATCACACAGATTAGTGTTCTCAGTCACGTTGGTTGGCAGTGGCTTCCAATGGCTCCTTGGCTTGCATCCTTGCAGGGTGGCAACCATCTAACACCAACCTCATATTCTGACTCCTGGCTTCAGCTGGTACTTCCTTCAGCTGCTAGCTCCCAGGCTGGACTGACTTCCAACTGCCAACCTCCAACTTCAGCTGTCAATTCTTGACTGACTCAAAGTCAAAATTACTTTACACCTGGCAGTTTACCACCAATCAGTTTGTCTTGGTGTCAAGCCCCCTTCAGACCCACGACCAGAGATTTCCTCCCCCCAACTGAACCCTTGTCCTTATGTAATAGAGATATTGAGAAGATGGGTTTTTTCTCTTATGAATATGCTTGGTCTTTTGTCAAATGTACATTTCGCAAATATAGCATGTTATTGAAAAATTCTTGCTTTTGTGCCACACACAAGTCCTATGTCAGTACAGGCTTTGCAGAGCAGATCATCCCTATCTTATGTATCTCATGCTACAACGGTAGCCTAGTCATTTGAACGTTCGTAAGCTTGACCCCTGCCAAGTTTAAGCCTCTTATATTTTTGACTGGCTCAAGCTATTCCGGAGTTCTTTATATGCCCTCAACATGGACTGCATAGAAAACGCCACTTCCAACAGTTCCTCCATTGTTGTATGTGCATGATGCTTAGTGATGGTGTTGTGTTTATGAAGCTGTTGCTTAGCAATGGCTGTTACTCTGGTCCCTTGTTGTAGCTGTCAGTCTTGATGTCACAGTACATAAAAAAAAATCATACAAGCACTTAGGAGGGACGACGGCGTGAACTTATTTGTCGCGTTATACGCCCAACACATGACAATATGTATATGCTGTATATAATACTAAGAGGTTGCTAGTGAGATCTCATGGTTCTGAATCTTCATACCTCAATGAAAGATACAAGCTTCTATGAATAACTAGAGCATGTGTTCAGTCAGTTCCATAAGTACCACATGAACATTTTGTTAGGCAATTTGAATTCCAAAGTAGGTGGAGAAAATACCTTCAAACCAACAGTTGAGAACTAGAGTTTAAATGAAATGAGTAATATACTCATAAGTGGAGTTACTTACTTACTTACTCATGGAGCTGAGCCTTTCTGGAGGAGCCATCAATTCTGCAGCTACTCAAGAATTTCCCAGCATTTTATGGAACCCAAAGGTTCATTACTGTGTTCACAAGAGCCCTCCACTGGTCCCTATCCTGAGCCAGATCAATCAAATCCATACCATCCCATCCTATCTCTCTAGGATCCATTTTAATATTGTCCACCCACCTACACCTTGGTTCAACAGAGCGTGTTCAAAATTATTAGATCAAAGGAAACAAGCCAAACTGCAGTGGTTACAGGATCTGAGTGTAAGAAATGGGGATAGTCGGAACATAAAGCCAGCAGACATTCAGGAATAAAAAGAGGAAATATCTGAAAGATAAAATTGATTAGCTTGCAACAAACAGCAAGAAGAAGAAGAATATTAGAA